CTGGAGCTGGTTGTTATTCAAATCTGAGTCTAGTTTTTATACAGTTCATTTCTGATGGGTACAACACTGATGTTGGCCAATAATACTTTGTATCCAGTACATCCTCTCTTCAGCGAATGAGTCCTGCTGTGCTATAAACTGAAAATGTAATCTAAGGGGACCTACATGTCACTTGAGGGTACGAAATAATAAACTGTAAACAGAATATGGGGATTTAAATGGTAAATTATGTACAGGGGATTAAGCCAAAATTAATATTAATATTTCTATCATTTTTAGCCATACCTGACTGGCATGATTTAATTACGTTTAAGTTTTGTTTTGGTTAATACTTATTTGAGTGTCATAAGCATCCCCTTTGATGCTGAGAGGTGAAAGGGGGATTAAAAAAAAAGAATATGATGGCCAAAGAAAACTATATTAGTTAAAAGATGCTCCAACACTCCATTGAGTTGATGGCACTGCAAAGAGTGTTATGTCAGTGTATTAATATGAGCGACCACTTTCACACACACAAAGTCAGCATGATCCATTCTAAAAGTTCATTTTTTGTGTTAGTACGACTGTACATAGATGTATTATTTCTTGTAAGAGTAAGATGCTTGTGTTGTTTCTTGCTCAACAACCAGTATATTGAACTACATTTTACAATGTTGTACAACGTGTTCAAAGTTCATACTGTTGACTCTTAGCGTGAATGTCCAAAGAACGCTGAGGTTTTGGTTTCTAAACCTGCAAGTGGACATGTAGCAACATGTATGTGTGTCAACAATAGTCTGTTCATATTATTACGACCAGCTGGTCACAGGGAGACTTGATGGGTGAAAAATGTCTATTTTTAGCTGCTTGATCTAGAGGTTTTATTGTTGTAATCAGAAATAATGAGCACCATTTTAATTCAGAGAGAAAATGATCTGTCATGTGTTGACAGTATAAACAAACATACAACCTGTTTCAAAGACACGCTCTTCATCTTTGGGACAGTTAAATTCATCCATCCTGATACCAAAAGTGCATCGGAAATATACATATTTATATCATGTGTCAATATCTACACATAAGAGAACGTAAAAAAGAAAGATCACAAGCACTACGGGGAAAAAAACAAGAAAGAGAAACTAGGGAATTGGAATGAGTTGTTGAGTCCTTCTTCTGTTCAGTCATCTTCCAAGGAAATAGCAATGTACAACATATTACCATTCTGTGACATATTCACATTTATAAATGATATGAAAATTGTGTGGAAACTGGGAGTCGATTCATTATATTGTAATTGTAAGTCGAGGGATGTGGAACATTGGATAAACTGGCACTGCTTTTTAATTACAGCCTTAAACAAGGTAGTGAAGATACCAAGGAGAGACTTATGGTCATCACTTATCATTTAATCTGGCCTTGCCTGTAAGATCCACTTTATTGCTGTGTTTATTTTTAGAGTAAACTTTCCAATTATTTATTTCCAATGGAACTAACTACTCTCATTTTAAAGTGTATTATTAAAAACTGAGCCCCCTGCTGTTTAATTTGTTGTGTCGGGCACCACAAACTGTTGTGAATTGTGTGGGCAAGGACTCTCTGAAAGCCCTCGCATACGGTTCTGAGAAAAACAAGGCTTTCATAGAGATCAAGAGAAAAAAACACTGTGAGAAGAACAGCAATCAAAAGAGGAAGTATTTCTGATAAACGTCTGATACTCTCAAACCAACAAAACACTAACGAAGTGAAACAAGCATCAGATGTTTCTTATAATTTCCACTCGTTAATCATTTCCAAATGAACACTTGAAGCTTTAGTGGTTAAAACATTTTGAATCAACACATTTTTAAAGCTGCACTGTTGAAAGTTAACAATAAGACAACCTAATTAAAATGACCCAGCGCATGAGGGACAGCCTAATGAAGCTAAACATTTTCCCTGTAAAAGAATAATCACTTCATTCCATCAGGCCACCGGAACAAACGCAACCGCCGCGCATAATGTGCCCGTCAACCAATCAGGCTGCAGTTCTACGTCCATGTCTGATCTAAAATGCCATAACTGTATCCTATTGGACATTCGTGCCAAATTATTATCATTAAGCATATGATTTCTTCGTCCTGACCAAATATGTGTTTTGTGTGAGGCTACAATGACTTTGACCTTTTCACGTTTAACAACCCACATCAAATAAATCCTACATGAACTGGCAAACAGACGGACGAGCGGAGACACAATGCCACTGGCTCACGGGCAGAAAAAGTAATGAGCTGCAGACACAGATGTTACCACGATGAAGGAAAGTAGTTTCTTAAAGCTGCCGAAAAGGAAAAGGGTCCATTCTTCACCGGAAAAATAGGTTTTTGTGTAAAGTACCTGAATACTGGCAATGTACTGGTCATTAGCGACCTCTTTGCCGGAGAGGGGCTGAATGGAGCTATTTTACCAGACACAATGAAGCACACAAAATCCATCAGGCCATTTGGAGTCAGAGAAGAAAGGACATCTCAAGTGAACGCACTGTGAATCCGACTGTGACTGAGCATGAAATCAAGGTAAGTGAAGATATCTAGGCCAAGAGGCTATGGATTCTTAACAAACAGAGTGACGTGCTCAGACTTCAGACACAAATAAGGGAGACGAGCATTATGATAATTACAACTTGAAGGGAAAATTAATGAACATGGTTCAAGGGGAACACGTAGGCCCATATTTTAATGGGTTCTGATTTTAGACACATTTAAATAAATGGCGCTTTTGCTAATCACTTATGTTTAGTGGTCGAGCCTATCCGGGGGTTTCAGCACTAAGCTTCGGTGTCCCCGGTGGTCTTTCACTGTACGAACCCAAATCCAAATAAAGGGACGATGTTAAGGTGCCAATGGAATCACTAATTAAAAATGGTCTTTGTTACAGCTCAGTGGAAGAAATTCCAATTTATGTTTCCAAAATTGATGCTGCATAATGTGTTAACACGGCGCCTGAAAAAGAGGGACCTTGTGTGCCGTTCATAGATTAATAGCCGTCAAATCAAAGCTAATGTTGATATCTCAGTCAGGTGTTTGGGTCCCCAGCATGAGGGTTGATGTTTGGACAGACAGGTATGACATCATTAGCGCAACAGGATTGTTTCCATGTTAAATAAACATGCTTCACGAAATGTACAAACACAGATAAAGGAAAAATACAAATCCATGAGACTGTAGAATCCCAAAGTGTGCTGAGGAATTGTGTTACTCTTTATTGGCTTAAAAAAAAAAAAAAGTTCATTCTTCTCCATTCCACTGAAAATAAACTTCTCCATTTCTGTACACTTTGTGATCTCATCATCGGTCTCCGGTGGCTCTGTGGTGTAAACACAAAAGCAGATTTTTTTTTCCCCATACACCTTTTAATTGACTTTCTCTGTGTTTTGAGAGAGACGAAGAGAAGCTGGCAGACCTGAAAAAAAAAATCAGAGGCAAAGAGAGAAAACACCTCTCAATGTTACTTTGAACAATGTAGCCTGAACTGCTTGGCAGTAACGGGAACCACACACCCAGTTACAAGGGGGGATACAATGCCAGCCTCAACTATAATTTTTATTTAATACATAAAAACGTACATCTGCATGTACGGACTCATAAAATGGGATGTGCACTTGCCACCTGAGAAGCACGCAAAAATATCCGTTTGCTACTAGATTTGGGACACAGTGAAGCATTCATTAGCTAAAGAGCCAGATACGCAACCTGGAACTCTTGACAATCGTTAATAAAGGAATGATGACCATAAGGTGAAAAACATGAATCCTGCCACGGCTCGAGGAAGAAACTGAGGAAACACAATCAAATTAATTTCATTTACAGCGTCAGACTGAATACTCTTCTGACAATATAATACTTTTGATTCTACTGACATCTTCTTTGTCTCGCCATTCAGCAACTGTCAAAAGAAGTGTTGTTTGCAAACAATAATTACATGCACACGTGTCACGTTGCAGCGCACAATGGACGGCCTGTGCGTGGGACGTGAAGGCAGAGATGCAAATGTTCTATTGTTAAGACACTGACAGCTACGAGGTATTACTGACCTTTTCTCAGAACTTTTCAAGCCTTATTTGGAAGAAACGTCTCCAAAAACAACTTCTTCCGTGCACTTCTGTATGACATTTATACTGTATTGATTTGCATGAAAGTGTTATTTCTGTTCCCTCATGGGTTATGTTAAAGAGACTAGTGGGCGACAGTGAGATGTCCCAACTTGTTCAGGAGGGAATCTGCACACTAGTCCTCTTTGCCATCTCCAGATCTCAACAAAAGACCTTTGGCGGCTTCTCCCCCCCACAATGGTGTGAACTGCATCCCATGGAGATAAGAAATTGAAATATACACTGTGTTGTGACACTAAAGATGTTGCATAGACAGCGGCTTTGCATTAGTAGCAACTGTAGAACTCATGCAATCACTGACAAGACTCCTAGGATCCTAAATCGGGCTCCTTTAATTCAGGATGAATGCTTCCCCACCAATCAAATTTGATTATGAGAGCAGCCAGTAGTCTGTGCCAAAATAACAGATCCAAAAAGTGGATGAGACAGGGGCTGAAGCTAATTTCCTAGCGCCTTAGTCAGCTAGGTCAATATCGAACTTTCAAAAGGATTTCGTTGAAGCGCTCTTCCCACGTTCTGCTCCTCTGCACCCATCTGAGCGGACTGATTATTATTAAAAGGTAATGAATAAGATACAGCCACACCGAGCTGTGATCCACTAGAGCCCCCATCAGATAACAGGAGGAATTGCAACACACCAGATTAGTGTCCCTAAAATGTGTTGATCACTAACTGGGTGCTATGAAATCTGGTCTTGTCAAGAAACTGCATAAATTAAGTAGAAAGTTCCTCATTCAGAACAATAGCATCATTCACATGCTACATTTTAAACTGAACTAAAATACACACCACACACACTTAAGGAGGAAGACAAAATGTACTTTCTACAGCAAAAGTGGACGTAACACATTAAAGAAACATTTGCACACTTAACTGGAGTTTTAAAATGTTTATTAAAAAAATAGAAAAACTTAGATAAAAAAAATAAAGCAAACAAGGTGTTCGGCTTACACATGTCAGTCATTTACACACAATCCATAATTGCACATATTTGAGCTGGGGATTTGGATTGCTGCAATAATGCATCAGTGAGCATGATAAAAGCGGCATTGAAAACGGATATAATTCCAACAGTGTCATGTCGAGGTTATCATATTGGTGGAGGAAATCACTAAATCAGACTTAAAATAAAAAAACAAAAACGCATGACCATCACCAAATTTGGTTGTGGCTCCACCAAAAACTCCAGTAATGGTAAATCTGCGATATCCCATGCGCCGGCCCCCTTATGGATTGCGGTGTAAATGATGCCTTTCCAACCTTGTCTTACAAGATGTAGAAATGCAGACTATAAATATGAGAGAGGAAAGACCTCTAGCCTTTTACAATTATGACCCTTTGATTAAAAATAAATAAATGTGAAAGTATGGCAATGTCAACAATCATTCTAGTCTATTCCTGGAACGTTAAACCACAAGCTGGTCGGTAAATAAAAGCCAGGTAAACCCAGCAGTGCTTATTAAACAAACTATGACAGGAAAAAAAAGGGCCAATTTGGTCATTTAAGAATGCAGTAAACCTGTTGCTTTAACAGAATGAAAAGGAGCTATAAGGCAGAAAATGCACTTTGCTGGTAATAAGTAGCACCAATTATTAAATTACATGAGTAAACACTGCTAAAAAAAAGGTGCATTTTGCCAGCACAGCACATGGAGGGGAAGTACACCCAAATAAAAGTACAACTACTGAAAATATGATGAAGATGAGCAGTGGTGATAAAACATGTAGCCAGGCGACTGGCAAGATCAATGGTAGATCATTTTTGGCACATTTGTCATGTCCCGTTGCCATAGCTCCCCTTCCGCTGCACACACACACACACACACGTACCACTCACGGCCCTCAAATCCATCTATTGCACAGATCAGTATTGTATAGTACTAAACTTATAGTGGGGACAACCACTAAAATAAAACCAGAATGTGTCATAAATTAAATAAAAGCAATTACTGCACATGAACAAAAACATAAAATAAGGTGGCAATGTTTACAGTACAAAAACATAGATAATAGTGCCGATGTGAAGAGGAAAAAAAGCCCTTAGTGACAAACAAGAAAACACATGACCAACACACAAACAAACATTTGGTACATTCAGAAAAGTCATCACAGTTTAAGCACTTGAGACAAGGTCAGTTTTGTGCCATCACACCAAAAACCATCAAGTCAGCGCTGTGCTGCCTAGGTAAAAAGGTAGTGCTTTACTCCGGTTCCATAGTACAATTCTTAGAGAGTCCAAGCCTTAAGAACTCAGAATCATAACTGAATGCCCCATCTGTATCTCGATGGGGCCTTCAGGAGACCAGATGGGGCCAAAACCTCAAAAAGGCCCAATAAGAGGCCAAACTTCTAGCAAGACCACCGTCGGATAATCAGTTCACTACTATGGCACAATACGTTGCCTTCTTTAAAAAAGGTTAAAGTATGTGCTGGTGTCCATGAGAGTTAGAGCATCAGACTGATGTCAAGACACTAGGCCTTCTACAGTCTTCCTTCGTCTGCGAGAGCCTTGCAGCATCACTAAGTGCTTGCGCAAGAGCTGGCAGATATCGGTAGACACCGTGCGTGATTTTGAGAACCTCCAACGAGACAAAAATAGGGTCATGAATGCGTCACAGCTCCAAGACCAGATAGGCCTTAATAGAAAAAGAAAAAAAATACCCACATCGCCAGTGAAGTCACACAGGTCTTTCATCTGATCCGGTTAAGAGACGGGAAGATTGTCCCTCTTCCTGCGCCGCCAGGTGTTACGGTTGTACTGCTGCTGGTTCCTGAAAGCCGGTGCCGTGTTAGGACCCTCGGGGACGTACCGCCGCTGGGGGCTGAAGTTACTGAGAGAGGGATTTGGACCTTGGTTGTGCTCTAAGCCAACTTTGTGCAGCTCAAGTGAGCCGTGGGAATTGGATCTCATGGCGTACGCGTGGCTATGGTGCCCTCCCATCTGAGGGTGGTGCAGCTGGTGGAGGGGGCTGGATAGAGGGCTTGTGACGTTGGTGTGCTGGGAGATGTGGGCACCTTGGGACATGTGCCGATGCACAACACCGATTAAAGGTGGGTTTTCATGGTAGAACTGGCAATCGGCGAGCGAAGGGATGGTGAGAATTTCTGGGAGTGACGTCTGGGCCTAAAAATAAAAAGAATTCAAACGCAGATTATGCAATGACAATTCTACCAAGAGCAAGGTTTTGGGATGTATGATGTTCACACTGCAACTGGTGGAATGGGGAAAAACAAACAGAACCAACTTGCGACGTGGTGTGGATGAAGCCTCCTGGATGAGTGGCCCTCGGGTCCGTTGCCATCTGGATTACCGATTGGACGGAGGACAGCGGGAGGGGCCGGAGCTGGATGGCAGTACTACTGCACGGAGGAGAATCAGACTCCTCCAAAAAGACATACAATCGGGTTTAAAAAGCTGCACACGTCCAGCAGAAAACATGGATAAAAGATGGCTACTGCTAAGATCGCGTTATTCTTACAAAGATTTTTATGATTGCATGAAAACAGGCGACGGCTAAACGCCACGCGTCTGTGGACCTCTGGTTTAATAAGTCACTGATCTAGTAGAAAGCTTCCAGACACAAAGTATCATTATGCCTTACTATGTCACTTCCGGAGGAGGAGGAAACCGAGCATGAAGAGGATGAGGATGATGATGAGTGATGTTGAGGGCTCGGGAGGAAGACCGGCGAAGGGGAGTCAGCACTGAGGGGGGAGGAAGAGTCCCTCTGATCCTCCAGAGAAACTAGCATCAGCCTGTTCAGGTCCTGCTCACAGGTCTCCACATCTAGGACCAAACAGAATATCAATTGTCAATTAGCTTTTCAGCATCGGGCATATTACCAAATAATTTGACCTTTTAGGCAAACAAGTCACATTTTCTGAAAACAAACTATCCTAAAAGTGCTTCCACACCTCACATGGTCAGTGCAGAACAAAGACTGAACTGAGACAGTCCACTTTCAAGTGGACGTTAGTGCAGAAGGTTGACGCCTGAAACAACCACACGGCTTTAAGGCAAATGTTTAGCACAATTTAAAAAATGCTATTAAATGATAAACAAATTCCCAGATGGGCAAATGGATTTAAGAGTGATCTTATCACTCCCCAGTACAAGGCTGTGTGTAGAATCAATGCAAATCTGGTAACCATGACAACGTCCCAGCGAGAAACCGGCCCAGAACCAAACGTTACCGTGGTTCTCCAGCTTGGCGTACTGCTTGGCTCCCCACTTCTTAATGGTCCAGTCCCTGTAGGCCAACACCTCCGGGCTGACTTTGATGATGCGTCCCAAAGTACTGCAACACAGACGGCGGCACGGTCCAATAAGGCCATCAGAACACAGATAGTGCCCAGATAATTTACAGAACTGAGCTAAACCAACCTGTCATACTCCTTGTTGGGGTAGGCGCGCGCTAGAGGAGACACTCCGTGACTCAGCACCATGTAGGCAAAGTCAAACACCTGCTTGACCTGCAAAACACCATACGAACTCCTGCCCACATCATTCCCTGGGACAATTACAAAAGGAAAATACTCATACAAATCATTTTGGACAATATAAATCTTGTTTAACCTTCAGTGAAATGTATACCAGCACGGTAGGCATGAGAGCCAGATACGATGCTCAGGCAGGGTCGGTCATTCAAAAATCAGAATTATACAGCACTCGACACAAAACAATAACTAAAATGTTCTGACAAAATTATTCTGATAAATTTGCTTCTTTTCTCACCTTTGGTTTAGTCTTCTGAATGTTTATCAGTTGATTATACAATAGTTATTTACCGTTCAACACCATCCGTCACACTTTCAAACATAAATGCACCAATGTGGAGGATGTGGAGAATGGAGGAGAATGTGGATTTCCCTTTAATAGACGTGTCACTCGTGTATTTATTGATTCATACACTGACCTGGCTGTATTGGGTCTTCTATGCAGAGCATGGATGGCCGGTTTTCACTCCCTATGGCTTTGAGCATTTCCTCCTTTGAAGCGTAAGCCCCTCCATTTTTCACCCTGATGCCGGTTTTCATGTAATTGAAGTCGCGGCCGTACAGCTCAAAGAACTCGATCAGCAGGATGCCGAGGTTGATGTTGGCCCGCCGCGTGTCGATGCGAGGGTGTAACTGATGAGCAGAACCGGGCGCGTGCATTAGTTACAGACCAAGCGTGATACACAAAGCTTTGTATGCTTCCTTCACACCAAATTGAATGGTTGACAAATAACAGTTTGCAGTAACTTCTAAAATCAGTATTTTATTGCAGATTAAGCAGGCATCTGTTCTTGTACCTGCAGGAAGCTGATAGCCATTAGAATAAGGCTGTAAGAGCTGATCCCTCCAGTGAAGACTTCATTGAGATCCCTCTGCAGTAGGAACTGCTTCAGGGCGAAGATCAGAGGCGGCAGAACAGTGTACTTCTACCAGATCGGAAAACAGACATGAGAAACATGGGACGGAGGCTGCATGTGTGTTGAGAAGGTCATGTTGAAAGAAAAAAAAAAAAAAAAGGTTAACCTTAAGATAGCTTTTGATGAACTGTGCAGCTTTAACAGCAGTCTCTACGTTAAAGCTGATGTCCACTTTCACCTCGGTTTCATGGTCCGTAAGCTTGATGATGGGCACCTGAGAACAGGTCAGGGAATCAATCCAAAAAAGTTAAGTGAACCAATCAGCGCGTCAGGATTGAGAATGACATCAGCTCTTGTGTCAAGTCATTTCTGAGGCCCCAACATTAGTCCGTTAGTGGAACCTGCCGCCTCCTGGTGACTTACGGTCGCTTTGTCGAGGACCTTAATGGGATACGGCCCGGCCACGTTGTGTTTCCGCAGGGCTCGTTCCAGTTCCTGCAGTGGGGGACGGTCCCACTTTCCAAACACCACCAGGTCAATGTCACTGAGAACAAAAAACACAAAGTACTTTGTACCGTAACGGGTACATTTCTTAAGTTTTACGTCACAGTGATGGGGAGGTCACTGACAGCACAACTTTAAAGAGTAGTTTTATGTTGTGCAACCAATTCTGGCTTTTAGGGAAGCCTGTGCAAATTAAGAACCACAAAATACCTTTAAGTATCGATATAAAAACAATATTTCAGAAATTGTTTGTGATGTGTACATCTGCAAGACACGGTCCTCATTCATGAATAGTGGTTTCATGTTGAAATAAATAAATAATAAATAGCTTTAAAGCTTAAAATACTGCTCCCACTTCTCAAAACATTCTAAATGAGCCAATAAAAAAAATATTCCAAAAACAATTATTACCTTGAAGGAAGATAAAGCCCCGTGCTGAAGCTGCCAAATATCTCCACCTGCAAGGTAAGGTAAAAAGAAATACAAGCCTGGATTAACTCCCAAAACATAGTGGGGGCCAATTAGCAGATTGATACCTCATGTCGAAGATAGTTTAGCTAAACCGCTCACAGCCTGTTTCATCCAGTCCTTTAAATATTGATGTTTGATAACCAAATTATAGGAAGCTCGAAACCAACTTCGCTGAAAGTTTGCGGCCTGGTGTGAGTCAGTGCTTTGCTCATACCAAAGCAACCAGTCACAAGAGGAAGAAAAATGTGGTTAAGATATTCAGCAGCCTGTTGTACTTGTATGCTCTCCATTCCTATGACATGTGCAGAAATGAAACTATTAAAATAGGTCTCACTTATGATTAGCTGTAAGAAACGAAACAAAAAATGCTTGCAAAACATGACACTGGAAATTCAACATTGACTGGGTGCGCCTGCATGTTAGTTGGAGGTCTGACAGGTTTGTAAAAATGGGACTAGCCGCTCTCTGCAGAACACCAGCCAAATTAGAAATTCCTTTGGACTTACGTCCACTAATTTTGAACAACCCATTTTCTAGTCAGGGACCAAATCCTACTACAAGCATTAAACATTTGCATCATCACCACCTGAAAGAACACAAATTGGTCCTTTACAGAGCCGTGAGTCATTTGCACTTTGGCTCAGAAAAGGTTTATAGTATAAATAAAGGATATTTCTTAGAAAGTAAACCGTTTGACATTCTGTTGGCAACATACAACAGAAAACTATTCACTAATGGAGCAACGGGAACGCAAGTGACAAGGATGCTTTTGGAGGCGCAGTTGTAGAAATTTATTTTAAAAATCAGTTTTAAAAAGTAAAATTAAGACCTGGAAGTGGACCAAGGAATCCTGCTCGTGTGTGTGTGTCGTCTTGGTGCTCTGCTCATAAGGAGTTAAACATCTGACACAACTGCAGAGGTCATCAGTAAAATAGCACTTTAAAGTGCCGATTCAGAAGGCATTTTTAAAGCATTGTTCATGTGAAATGGAGTTCCATGGTTCATTAGTGTGAGAAGGAAGAACAATTTATCAAAAATCAGTTTCAATTAACTACAACGACCCTCGGGCGAGTCCCATTTTTTCTTGGGCCCTTAATGCTCAGTGGGATCAGGCAGAGTGTCGGAGGAGAAGCGGCGATTTCAACTCCACATCCCGTCTCCCTCAGACAGGTAGATGGCAGATAACGGCACAACGATCCAAAACATAAAAACCGCTCCACCTCAGCACCACCACCTCGTGCCAGGAGAGCGTCCAGACACTGCGTCACTATATCGATTTAACCCTCTAACATAAAGCGACTGAACCCCCTCCCCCCCAATGCAAAGACGGGTCACAGCGTTGCACGCAGCGCAGGCCAGAGGGGTGAACTCCACTCGCCTCCCCCACACTCACCCGCGCCGTGGGCCACATGTCCTTGATGACGCGCTCGATTCGGTTCACGACCGCTCTCCTCATGGCCTCCTCCTCCGGCCGCGGGGACATGAAGTTGAAGAAGTCCACAATCTCCTCATGAAGACTGCAAGGGTTCAAGGTTAGACAGGACACCTGGGGTCATGGCCTGGACAGTGAGGTACAGTTTTGCTGGATGCTTTTTGGATAAAAGAAACTCAAAGTATGGATTAGGAACTGGGCCCAGAGTTTACTGCTGGAGGCCCAAAAAGGAAATGTTTGAAGCACTGGGAAAGAAAAAAAACACACAAAAATAAACTAACTAATTTGTGTTTCAAATAAACTTATTTTACAAATTGCTTTCATTTGTAGTGTGTGTGTGAGAGAAGTTCGGTCAAATACATCCACACCTTTAGATCCCTTCATGACTTGTTTGTATTGAAAAGGGCCCCACACACCGCCTGCATCCTTACCCATTAATGCCGGGGCTGTAGCGCCTGGTTTTCCACACGCTACAACAGGAGTCTACGCGGTGGCCATTGCAGCCGTGGGGCAGCAGCGGGGTGCCGACGCCGTGGAAAGTGTGGGCCCGGTCCAGGTGCCTCCTGCGACCGGGCTGCTGCTGCTGCTGCTGCTGCTGGTGCTTGCTCCCGTGCTGGTTTCTCATCCCGGTGGGGGTGTGGCCGCCGGGGTGTTGCATGCTGCGACAGTGTGGCTGGACGGCGTGAGGCGGCGCAGGAGGAGTAGTAGTAGGAGGAGGGGTGGAGGAGGTGGGAGGATACTGACGCCGGAGATTGTTCTCGTTCATCTCGAGCTCGCCGTAGTGCAAGAAGCGACTGGCCTCCTCCGCCACGTTCAAGCTATCGATTCGCAGAGAGGAGCCGGAGGGCGAGGAGCCCTCGGCCTCAGAGTCCAGCGAGGAAGAGGACGGCGACAGCGAGCCCTTCCTGCGGACACGTCCCCTCCCACCTCCGCCTCCTCCACCTCCGCCGTCTCGCTTCGACAGTTTCCCAAACACGCACCCGGTGGACGGCGCCACCTTTTTGCAGCACTCGCCGTTGGACCCGACGGAGTTCACGTTTTGCGGCGCGCAGTCGCGGTGGAGGTGGTTGTCGACTCCGAAGCCCTGAGAGGTTTCCCAAATGTGCATCCACAGGGAATTGGCAGGTCCCTTCTGCTCCGGCTGCATCCAAGCGGTCCTGGGATCCATTGGACTCGAGTTAATGCAGAAACGGTCTTAACGGGAGGAGGAGGAGGGAGACTGCGGGCGAATTAAAGACTTTGCACACGAGAACATCAAATAAATCCTACGCCGTCGACTCGCTTGTTGTCATTACTGTCAATGCTCACGCGTCCAGGAAGCGGTTCTGGTTTTCAAGCGGCTCGTCCGACTCCACTCCCCATGTAAAGGCGGTCAATATGGCGCACCCAGCACGGCCGCGCGGATCGGCGTCTACGCATGTGTGAGGGGTTTAAATGTTTGAACACGCCCCTCGAGGCGGAGAGGCGCGTCAAGGTCACACGTTTGCAGGCCACGCCAACCGGAAGTGAATCTGTTTGAATTATGTATCGAGTTATTATGTCAAACAACACAACAAAGACACGATTACTAATGAGTACCATTTCTTTTCATTTATTATCACATTATTAGCCTGTTTTTACTCAAAGTGTGTTGGTAAATGTATCAATGTTTAAGCTGTTGCCAAGAACAAAAGTTAATTATAAGGCCAGCAAATTAACAAACATTCTCTGACCAACCATTGAAACGTTTAATGTTTTGTTATGTATTTTAATACAAATACATTTCTAAAATATTCTTGCATATCACATTAAAATAAAAAAAGAATTAAGAGGAATTTCAAAATAACAATTTCAACCGTATCGATATATTGATAACACATGTACATATTTTTATTTTCATATGTATTTTTACTTTCACGTTCATCCTATTTGATTAAACGTTTTTTAAAGAAAGTGCAGCGGACCTATTTTCTAGGATTGATTTCAAACTTGTCTAAAACATTTTGTTGTCATAGATTCCTCTTGTTATTCTTTAAAACATTTTTCTTGAAAAAGAACCAGATTTTAATTGTCCACACATTTAAGTGGCCAATGGGTCTGATTGCTAACACTTCCAAGTTGTTGTCCAACGTGCTTTCGAGCTTTTATCTTGAAGGATGGCTGCTAACGGAAACAGTTGCTTTTGAATATTTCAACACTTTTCACAAATCACAACGGGCATGGATGGATGAAGCGTAATTGGGAAGGATCGTTACTCGCTGCGTTTATCACCAATTTCGTGACTGTTAAGCCTTTCACACTCAAATTTGACCGATTTGACATTCGACAGCAGCAAAAATACCCCACACTTCATTATTTTAGCATACGATTTAATGACTTTTAAAAAGGTGCCACACATGTTTGTACACAAAAGCTGTTTATCTACTAGTTTGAGTCAAATAAAGGAAAGTGGTGGTTTTAGTGGGTTGAGTTTTACTTTAAACTGTACAGGCCGTGTTTCTGTGTATTTCTTTATGGGACAGTTCCTGGGGGACCTCCTCACGGAGAGAGAGACAGACACCTGCTGGTCTCTGAAGGGGCACGAGGAATAGTAACACAGCACAGGGAGGATCATGTAAGGCGCACAAAGGGAATGGTCAGATGGTGATGTGCTCCACACACAGGATCTGCACCTGCTGTGTATCAAATCTACAAAGTAATACATTTGGATCTGTTTGAGTTGGTCGGGTTGATAACATTATGAAAAGGTATCTGAGCTGCCAATCTCTAATGTAAAACATGTCATGATAACTTGTGATACTAGATCTTTTTCAGCAAAGTCAAATGTTATACAACTACAAGGTACACTCTCATGAATGAGTGACAAACCTTTTAGACATTCTAAATAGATCTGTAGTTTGAAGGTTTGTGTTGACACTTTGAAGGAATTCTTAGTCCGGACGTACTGCGAAGGTTTGAACTTTAACAGGACGTAAAAGTTAATGTTACGCTCAATGACCCATGTTGAAACAGCAGTCGGTTTCTACTTCATTCCCTTATAACATTTTTCCCAGCTTCAGAATGTATTGCATGAGGAAAGGAAGTGCCAAAACAGACTATTTCTTTCACTATGTCAAGATTTTAATATGAAACATTTAAATAACCTCTGAAACAATCTGTACAAAACCTGTCGCAATCTTATTTGTCATTCATACAAACAAAACAGCAACAACTCATATTTACAAACATTGAATGAAGAAACATATACAGCAGCGCCACAATTATATAAGAACACGTGTAGGCCTACATATTTTAGAGCATCACCTGAGAACAGCCAAAGAAGGCAGGGGCTTATGCAAGTACCTTTATTACAGGCTGTGGATAGCTAAAACGTGAGTCCCTAACAATAAAAATGTCGGACAAATTTGCTACAAAATCAGAGTACATTCAAGTAATGTATTCATTTTAAAGTAGTAGTGCAAATGAGAAAAATAAAAAAAGAGAGAGCGCATCGATTCAAAACCTGATATGAACCTTCAGGCGTCAGTTATTAACAAAGTTGTGAACTGCCCAAACACAAAACATCTCGGCCACAGACCGCCAGCCAGCGAGTGAAAACAATTCCTCTCGCTCAGCTCGCCACCGCTCTGCAGACAGAAGCCAGCTGGTTCATGCAGCTGGTCACTGCAGGAGGGACCTTGCGGGACGTCTCTCCTCGCCAGTCTGCCAGCGCGCCCAGAGCTTGTTTGGGGTTGCAGGGAGACAGGTCGTAGATGCAGTAGATGGCGGCTAGCTGGACCTCCCACGGAACACCTGGGGGAGGAAATGATGAGACGAGACTCCTTATGCGGAGGCCTTTTTCCTGAACATAAAACAAGGAATCTCTGTATCCAGCGTGCCTCATACCTTCAGTGTGCCCGTGCCTACCAAACGTGTTGATGACGTTGGCGACCGTAAGCACAGAGGAAACGCACCTCTTTTTCATTCCCAGTTGACCCAGGCGTCCTATTTAAAAAAAAAGAAAAAAAAGAGAGAGAATGAAATGCTTAACTGTCGCCTTGGTGACCTTTTGAGTACATCATCCAAACGACTGACCTATGAGTCGGAGCACGGTGGCGACGGCCACGTCAGAGATGGGGGCTTGTGGTTCTCTGGGTTGGGACACCCAAGTGTTCATTATTGGCCACAACTCCTTGCTGTCGAGGCGAAAACCACTCGTTAGTACAGGATTACACAGGGAGCATTTCTTTAACCAAGCATTACAAGGACTAGTCAGCTTATTTCTTCAGCTTTAGAAAAAAAATAACATACCTCAATAAGTTATTGTAGGTCCACTGCCACTTCTTATGTGCACAAAGGAGTTGCAGTGTAAAGATATTCTGCCACGCCTCAGTCCCGAGGTCATGCCCGTAGCGGGAATGCGTAGTGAACGACCGGCTCGACCCGCTGCGAATATCACAGACTGTTCTGGAGATCAGCTCGTCGATGTCGCAGGGAGGACTCTGCAGTTAAGATAGAGACGTGCGGTTCGTGAGGGATGATTCCGCTTGAGTTGAGAGTGTACAAACGGCAAAGAAGATGTCGTGAACACAATTGGCGAGCTCTCACGAGTTGGAAATCAAGCTAGATTTGACAACACGAGAAATGAATAGCCACATCTGTACAAACACTCCACCTTTTCCCAACCGAGGAATCTTGAAAGGCAGCTGAGGGTGTCTTCTTGCGCCTGTAGTTTGGTGACCGCGTGTATCGCCTGGCCGAGAGGACTGCTGTGTGAGAGAACGTTGGGCCACGTTGTCACCATGAACAAAATCAGCTTAGCAGAGTCTGGGAAATCTGCGGGACGGTAAACACAAGAAGAAAGAAAAAGCAGGAATCAAGCGAATGCTTCAGTGGCGCCCTGAGTGACGTGCGCCTGGTGGCAATGGAGAGACGCAGTTTCCACAGTTCAACAGAAAGGCTTAATTTACCACAGAGAGAGAGAGTGTGCAGGTAAATCGAGTGTGTATAGAGTAGCACACAGTATGGCACAAATTGCTAACCTTCAGTGAGAAGGCTGTAGGCCAGGATGTGAGCCTTCTCCCAATCGCTCGCCTGTCTGCAGATCCCCGTGTACACTCTGCACAGGGCCTGCAGGTAGTTCCTGCTTCCGTCGCTCTTCTCTGCTTTCAGCTTGTTCAGGATGGGAAAGATCACATCGTCCAGCTGATTCTGAAGAGAGAAAACATGCACAGCAAATTACACGTGGACACAGACCTATGAACAAAACAATACACTTCATCTTTGACTTTTTTTTAATCTGTAGGATTAATCGGGGCAGGAGAAGCGGTGTTGGACATTGGAGGCTGGAAGGTGTGCACGGCACAACCAACAGCCCCTCCACCCCCACAAGCCAGCCGCTGGAGCGACGCAGCGAGCTCACAGCGGGGGTCCGGGAGCCCGACTGACTCCGTGGGCACAAGCTTTCACAAAACATTGGGGCAAATTTTGATTTCTCGCTTTAAAAGTATGTATGACTTTAATGGTAAACATACAAAAATGCTAAACATAAAACCGCCAGTGTTCTGACACGTCTAACGGATATTTATTCCATTGTTATTTTTGTTCTATTTGTTCTATTTTGAGTGCGTCTTGCCGGCTTCACTACTAAATAAGTATAAATGAAGCTTAACTGATGGATTGATGTTGCAATAGTGGATGGACCGACCCAGAGGATTTAGATCTTGAGTGTGTTTTATTACAATCAGCAAGATAAAATAACTGAATGGAATCATGTGGCTTTAAGTCCGGCATTGTCATCTTAAGTGTTAATGTTAAATAATTTAAAAAACAATTATCCAAATTCCAGATTCCAACTTAGTTGTGTATAAAGAAATACAACTGCTGATCACATTACTGCGGAAAGAGGAAGTATTCTCCACAGGAGAAGCACGTTTTTTGCTGAAGATGTTTTAGCAACATGATAATATAAGACAGTTACAGTCTTCTGTCTTTGAATCAGTTATGCAGATAACATTTAGGATATGTTTCAGGCTCTGCTGTAGACCAAATATCCTCACACAGATCACCCCAAAACAATAATTTATCTGAAGAAAAGCAGAGACCAAAGGGTCGGCGCATGAACGTAACATAAGCCAAGAAGAAGAGCATGCTCACCGTGCCGTTTCGGCAAATCTCCGAGATAACCTCCTTCTCCTCGTCTCTCAAGACGGGTTTCTTTGGCAGGTTACCCACGTGCAGGTGGCTCCGGATCACCGGCATTAGATCAAAAGCCTGGTTTTCAATCTTCATTAAACACTTTGCTATGAGATTTTGCTCTTCGGCCTCCGCACCGTTGGGCTCGGTTTTGAGCCGCGCGAAGCTCGGCATCCAGGGAGAGGTGCCCTCCTCCCCGCTGTTCGGGGAGGAGGCGGCGGCGGAGGGTACCTCCGCGCAACTGGCGGTGGGAGAGCAGTTGTCCAGACGGAGGCATTTGCTGCTTTTAGGCGGAGGCAGATAAGGGGCGGGTCTTTTTCCTCCCCTCGTCTCAGTGAAGGCTGTTGAGCTGACGGTTTTAAAGCGAGACGCCTGACCGTCGGCCGTCGTGGGGGATCCGCCCTCCTCCGGCGGGCCGACGCTGAGGCCGACGTTGCCTCGGAGGATGCTCAGAGTCCGGCCGTGGGCTGAGAGCTCGGGGTACATGGTGTCAAGAATCCTCATGGAGTTCTCCTGCGACGGACTCGACGGCGACGACGACACCGTCGAACTGATGGCCGCCGCGGGCAAGCGACCCGGAACGGGCACGGCGTGTTTCGGCGTGGCAGAGCCGAACTGGAGCGGCGACGACGGCACTCCGCTTGGAGGGAGGGGGCTGTTCAGGGACGAGGAGCCGGCGTGCTGGTTCACGGGCGTGGAGTGGGCCGGGACGGGCGTGGCGGGCAGAGCCGGTCCGTCCATGGGCGAGGGAAACGAGAGTTTCCCGATGGCCTGCCTTGGATTGATGGGTTTGCCCGCCTTGGGAGGTGTGGTCAGTGGCGTTAGGAGACGAGGAAGCGGCGGGCCCATTTCACAGCGGACTTGGCCGATGCATTCCGGGGGTTGAGGTTTAGTCGCCTCTGGGCTGGACCCTTTCGCTCTGGCCACTTGAGCGCTCGGTCTGTCGTGCACTTTTACACACGACCCCAAACTGTTTTCACGTCCCGTTTTCGCAGAAGCACTCTCGACCGAGGCCGCGGACCGAACCGAGCGCAAGTTGTATTTCATTTCCTTGTGGTTTCTCGCGGCGACGCTGTGCTGAAGCTGGTGTTTGACTTTAGCCGTTTGAATGACACGTTTCTCCACTAAATTAGGCACCGCCTGCAATTTCAAAGTGGGCAACAGACACAACGGACTCAACCGCCTGCACGCCGAATGGATACCTTCTTCCAGAGATTCACAGCTGACGGTCTCCGGGGGGTCAGAGGACAAAGGCTCACAACCTGCCAGCATTTCACTAATCAATGTCTCTGGGTCGTCGTCCTTTTTGGAAGAAGTGTCAACATCTGCGTTACCGGACTCCCGCTCAGCATGGGACTCCTCATCGTCATCATCGATCTCCAACAGTGGAAACTCGCTAGGAGAAGGAGGTCTGTTAGCACCACTCGCCTCCGAGGGAGAAGCTGCTACATCAATTACCTCAGCTCCTTGTGCTTTATTCCAGGTTTCTTCACCAGGAGCTTTAGTGGATGGATCCCTTTCCAGCCGCTCTTCCACATTTCTACTTGAGACGCTGACATTGCTGGAGCTCGTTGAACGGGAATTATCGTCTGGCACTGCAGGATCGTTGCTATGACAGCTTCTGTCCTCCTGGGGTTTAAAGACCGTGGGAGCTTGACTGTCCTCTCCTAGACCACAATAGTCCTGAGGACCTTTTCCCGTTTCTGAACCGTCTTCTCTATTTGTAACCTCAGCATTTGCCACAGAGTCAATGCATGTTGGGAAAGTGACTGGGGAAGAAACCAAGCGTTCATTTCCTCTTTCCGCGATGAGTGAGGTTTCATCCTTGCTTGAGGGGAACTCTCCACCACCAGGAGTGACTGCTTGAGAACCGGTAACATCACTGGGGCCTTTTCCCGTTTCTGAACCGTCTTCTGTATTTGTCACGGAGTCAATGAATGTTGGGAAAGTAACTGGGGAAGAAACCAGCGGTACGTTTCCTCTTTCCTCAGAGAGCGTGGTTTCATCCTCGCTTCTGGGGAACTCTCCACCACAAGGAGTGACTGCTTGAGTCCCGCTAACATCACCGAGGCTTGTCTCTACCTCCATCTTTGTCTCTGACCAATCGTCCTCTTCCTTTCTGAACGCATTTCCACTTTGAGAGAGTACACGGTTACTACTGTGTTTTTCACTGCAGGGGGGCTCTTGACTTTCAGCCCTTAACGCGTCAACCTCAGCAAAGTCCGTAATGTCCGACGTGGGGGAACCAGCAGGTGATGGTGCAGATACTAATGTCACACTCGCTGGGTCCTGCTCAATCTGCATGACCTTTTGGAGATGCGTTTCCTCACCATCTGTGCCCTTCATTTCCGTAATGCCACTTAACTCATTTCGTCCCGAGTCTCTGGAGTTATTTTCATTGGAAATGGGTTCCACTCCCCGTGCTGTGACCACTGGCAAGTCCACCTTCGTCTTTGCGGTCAGTTTAGAAGATTTCAGACAGCGGGTTCTTGCTGATGTTGTGATGAGTAGGGACTCTTCTTGAGAATGAAGAACACCGTCGACAGACATTTTACGGTGATTTTCCTTTTCGCAACCAGTTGTCTCCATAGATTCAATCTGTGTGTCCTACAAGACAGAAAGGAGAACATGCGGATGTCATTTGTAAAATAAGATAAAACCATCGAGGCCCTTTGAGAGGGACCAGACTGATCACGATACAAGAAGGTTTGGTCGACGAGTGTGCGCGGATGGTGCACAGGCATTTTCATTGTCACTCACACAGTGTGACCCCTGGTGGACAGATGAGGGAGAGCAGCTATTTATGAAGTACAATATACCAGCGGGCCAGCTGTAAGGGTACGGTAATTGAAAATGATCCTGCGGGCCATAGATAATTCCACCGCGGGCCTTGATTTTGACATATGTGGCTTAAGGCATCAGTGCAGTGAGGAAAGCAATTTAATACCAACTTTACAAAAGCTCAAATTTATTTTGGAACATAAAATATGTCGCTGTGTTGTTACTGGCTGGTGGCAAATCTGTTCTGAGCATCGCCAAATGAAAACTGAATAGGAGTGCTATTGGTTCTGCTACCCAGATGTGTGTGATACTATTATTATTTTTTTATTAATGAGTCAATGGATTTTAAGGATCGGCAGAAAAACCGCCTTCTGTGGATCCCTTTCAAATATATTGTTCATTAATTATGATTATACTTAAGCAATTATTGCATTGACAATAGTTGTAATTCTTCAATTGACAATCAATTGAAGAATTACAACAAAGTAACAGCACTGACCACCATTAATATAAAAAACATAAATGTTAAGCCCCCTTTCCGGGGACCCCATGTCAGTTTTATTAATTGCAAGACATGAGTCTGGCAAATACGGTAACTTGCAGTGGAATCTTTACGTACAAATTACTGGCGTGACACATTTGAAAACAATTGAGATTGCAAACGACATACCCCAAATAATAGCATCGCAATGCAAAGGTTTTGTTGTAAATAAAAGAAGCATTTGCATGAAATATATAAAATGACATACCAAGTCCGGTAGAGGTGATATGCAGGGAAGAATTGGTTGGAACGATGCCAGTATCTTCTCAACAGACACTGCAGAGTTGCTCAGGTCAGCAGATGACCCCTCGCCATTGTTTTTGGAGGACGTCTTGCTCTTTTTGGGAGTGTCTGCTTGCTTCATGGTATTTGTTGACTGCAGGGATGCTTGCTGCCGGCTGGCTTTCTGCCCACGAGGGGAGAGCGTCACCGGTGTTACAGTGGCATTTGCGTGCATGTGGTAGCTGTTGGATTCACCAGTCTGGTTTGAAGCAGGACGGGATGTGCAACTCAGATGAGGCTGCAGTCTGTTTTGTGGGGAACGGGCTGGAACTCGCTTGGACCCGGACTCTGAAAATACGTTAAGTGTAAAAGAGAGGATTGAAATAAAAAATATGTGGTGTAAGAAAACCAGAAGTATTTAAGATGAAGACACTTTTTGCTCTATTTGTCAGTAATAACATACAGATAAGCAAGTCAGTTTAATGGTGCCTCACCAGGAACGTGCAACAAGAGCTTCTGCTGAGGTTCTATGCATGTCCACAAGTTCTGTAGCAGCATCTGGAATTTTTCTGAAAAACATACACAAATAGTCACACCCTGCAGAAGTAAAAATGCCCCCACGTCCCCTCCCCGACAGTGATAAGCTACATGAGTTAATTTAATGGAGATTAAGTAAATCTGATTGTTTACCTTTGTCAACTTTAGGCTCCTCAGGTGTACTTGCTTGAGTTGATGCGCTCCTATATTCTGTGGAGCGAAAATCCAAATATTGCTTAAAATTCTAATATAATTTCAAGACAGAAAAATTGCAGATTTTGCAGAAAAATTATAGATTTGAAAAAAGTATTTTACACTGGTGCCTTTGAAACATACATTCAAACATTTGCTCAATTGGGCTATTTCGTTTGTTTACTAAAATAAATATTTATCAGTGTATTTGTAAATGTTACTTGTTTACCTTTACACCGTTCTCTTTCCAGTTTCATCAGTCTCACCTATAAATTATTTAAAATTGTACACAAAGAAAGGTCAGTTCAAAATGTTCTTAGAATGACTTAATTCTCAGGTAATAACATATATAAGAAGGTCAATCCTGCACCTGGAGGTCATCAATATTTCTCTGTAGCAGAATATTATCTTTAGTCAGTTGGGTTATTAGATGATTCCGTTTGGAAACTGAATCTGAAACAGACGAAACATGTATGTATGTAACGTGTATAGCTAAACTCACAATCAAGCGTCATCATATAAACTAAGAATTGAGAAATGCTGTTGTGTAAAATCCAATTTTCAATACTAACCTTCAAGCAGTCCAACTTTATTTTCAAGATTGTCCTTTCTGTTGAGAAGACAACATATGTGGAAGAATTTAATAATTTCCTACTATGTAATGAACCATGAATAATCGTAAAGTATATCACGGTTTTATAACAAATAACACCGCAACACCTCTTTAATGTCCAAATTAAGAAACCACATCTGCATAGCGAGCGTGAGGTCTTACATGCTTGTTGTCTTGGCGTTCTCCTCTACCAATTTTTCAACTTGATCCGCTTCTGCTTGAGATTTCCTCAAAGTTGTCTGAAGAGGTGAAAATTGGAACAATATTATGAAGTTCCCCAAGCTGCATTTAGCACACAAAGCTTCTGAGAACATTTGGTTCTCATTTAAGGTCAGTTATTAGAACAAAAACTAAAATAACACAAGTGTAGTTTAAGATCACTTTCTAGCTTACCTGTGTTCTCAGCAAATCATTTTCTACAGCGGCCTTTTCCCTCTTCAGCAGGGCATTTTCTAGGGACATTATTTCTGTCCGTTCTTAGAGGTTGAAATATAATTAGGCAAAAGAAAATAACTTGTACCTTTGACACAATTAAATATATTGTTTTTTAAATGATATCATAAGTAAATAAATGCTATGTACCTTCCACATCCTTAAGCTGGTTTTCAAGTTTCTTATATCTGAGGGACAAGAAAATAGTTATATTAACACTTTGTAATATGGCGATCTGCAGGTTCAAACACATGACGTAATCATCTCTTACTCTGCCATTGTCCTGCTGGTTTGCTGCTTTAAATGGTCCATCTCTTCAGACATCTGTCCATAGGTCTTAAGAGCATCCTATACAAAACAAACACAGAAAAGGTTGGGGAAACGTTTCCTGGGATTTTATGCTAAACCACCACCTTTATTACCATCAGAAGGTAAAATCCTTTAGATGGGCATACCTTCTTTTCCTCCAGTTCTGCTTGAATAGATTCATAATCTGCAGTCTTTTTCTCCAGTCCTGCTTGAACAGATCTGTAATCTGCAGTCTTTTTCTCCAGTTCCGCTTGAATGGATTCATAATCTGCAGTCTTTTTCTCCGCTTCTGCTTTAACGGATTCATAATCTGTAGTCTTTTGCTCCAATTCTGCTTGAATGGATTCATAATCTGCAGTCTTTTTCTCCAGTTCGCCTTGAACAGATTCATAATCTTCAGTCTTTTTCTCCAGCGTAACCGATCTGATCTGCAGCTCTTCCAGCTGTTGTTGAAGCCTGTTAGTTTCACTGAAACATGAAACACATTCAGAACAGGAAAGCTAATTAAAACCACTTGCATCATAGAAGAATAATGTTCCGCGGTTAAAACACATAACGTCACGTTAAGAACGGCTGGTGTACAAAGTCATAATTAGTAAGCACATTTAGCTAGTATTTAACTAACTAGTTTACACCTCGTACATGCGTGGTCACCATGGTAACTATATGTCATTGTTACTCACTCGGATACCGCGATCTTCTGTTTCAGTGCCAGAAATGACGTCACGTATTCGGTCAGGCTCTGTGTTAAGAGACGGGAAGTAACAAAACAAAAACAATCAAGGACTCTTATTATAACCAACAGGTTAAGATAAAAACAGCATATAGCCCATGTTACGTCACGACGGCTTTTAAGTTAGATCTATAAAGATACAACGGAACTCCTTAAGAGGCTTTTCTGGAGAAAGATGACCTGACCTGGTGCAGAACAGGGCAGTTTTGACAGTTTCCAATCGTAGCGTCTGCGGCGATAGCTGCCGTTTTGCAATGGCTGTCCCCCGGCATCATGATAAGACCACCGAAATCCCGACAGGCGTTATGTTATATTCTAGAAATTCGCCACCTTGGGAAAAAGGAATTGCATTCAGGTTCAAAATAAACTTCACATTTTCGCGTATCCCACGTTGACGAAGGACCCGACCCAGGACCTCGCGGGGGAAGCTTCGTGAAATGCCGGTTTACCTGAATTAAATATTTCTGACTACAGTTTCTCACTCTGGGTTGATTTCCAATCACTGTGGGTAGCAAATGTGTTTTCAGTTTTCATTATGCTTTTTTTGCCAACTGAAATAGGATGTTCTATAGGATAGTACCGGTATTTTGCTTCAGGCAGTTCCTTAAGACGTCTACATTAGTTCATAGCGAGGAACGACCAAAATATAACTTGCAACACTCAAGATTAACGCTGCACATACGTTACTGTTTCGTGTACCTTAAAACCAAATAATACAAAATACCATTCGTAAATCCCTTTTTAGTTTTTGCCTATAAAACGAAATACAAAGTGCAGTTAGCTAACCCGGAAGTATGTACATTTTCACTGCAGAGGTTGACGCAATTGAAAGTCTGTGTGCTACAAACTCGTAGTCTCTGATACAAACACATACCAGTAACATTAGAAGAAAAGTTTATTCATGACCACGTCAAAGTATAACATACAAATTGATCCTATTCTACCGGTTCCACATTGATCCCTGGTGGTCTAGTGGTTAGGATTCGGCGCTCTCACCGCCGCGGCCCGGGTTCGATTCCCGGTCAGGGAACTTCCTTTTGTCGATTTATCCCTGTCCTATAAAATAATTTATGTCAACAAAAAATCCGGTTAGTTAGGTTATTTAGACTCAACAGTTAAGATTCACTACATTTCATGGAAACGTATAGCCCTTATAAACATGGGTTCACTGTATTGTTCATTAGTTTTTAGCTCCCTATGGTCAGCAGAGGGTACTGTTGTACATTAATATTACTTTTCAAAGCTGTACATTTCCTACCTATCTTTCTCTGTTCCACTAAACTACCTCCCATTTAGGTCAAGGTCCAGTTACAAAACCAACTCTGTCTTTCTACACAAACAACAACACAAAGTTCTTAAACTGATGCTTTTGAGGTCATCTGGTCACGCATTTAAGAATCCTTTCAACAAACAAATAAATGAGTAAATACATGGATTTTGAGATAACTGTCAGTTTGTTGGGCCCCACAACGGTCCCTGTTGCTGCGGCAGCAAGTCGTCTCCAGATTAGCGGTTCTAATTGCTGCGAGGAAACCACCAAAGGTGCTGGCATTGTTTTAGGTGAACGCTGATGGACAGATAATAACCTCGTAACTTCAGATGAACCTTCAGAGTGTCGCCTCAAGGCTAAAGAGCCAAATCTCCCCAAACCGATGCAGCCAGAGATAGCACAGTTTTTTCAAGTGGAAAAGGGAGTGTTGGGCATGCTCTCTATTTTTCTCCTGACGGATAATCTCTTCTGTTACCTGACATGCGTTTGGTAACACTTTGGATGGTGCCAGATTGATCTCCATCACCTTTGTTATCTACAAGAAGCCTTTCTTTTAACAGAATATTTGTATACACAAGTACTTCTTCTTCCTAATCTATTTCTTCTTGTGTGATTAGATTGGTTGCCTCTTCTTTCTTTTTTTGTTAAACTTCCATATCAAATTATACAGTCAGGTGGAAATAAAGTCACTAAAGCAACAATCTTTACTGAAGTCTCATAAATCATAATCCTTGTTGTACATTATAAGAGCAATTTGATGTGTGTTTGTGACTGTAGTGTTACCAGCAAACTGACAAGGTAACACTGCTGCCATGGCCTCCATCAGGAATCATGAAACATTTATTACCAAAATATGTCAGACAGAGAAATTTGGTGCATAACAGCAGACAGTTAGACAATGTACAACAAGACAGATAAGACCACATAGTGCAAGAGGAAAACAATAAAATATAAGGCTAAGGGTTAGTTTAAAAATAAAGGAATAAAATACACCATTGTTGTGTCCACACACACAGAAGCAGAAAGTCAGAGTTCCCCAGTGACCACAGCTGACCAACTGAGAATCAACTACAGAGAGATGGTTGACATGGAGCGAAAACCCCCTTCTCTCTAAATACCCACCTCTCCATCTGGCTCACTCCCTCTCTTTCTCACCGCATTTTTCTATGACAGCACCAAAAGCATAGATGCCTTCCCTCCGCCCTACTTTCAACTCTATTTCTTCTCTCCTCCCTCACTTTTTCACTGTCTCTCTGAAGGGGAGTGCCCGGCAATTATGACAATGGGGATTTTTTTTTCTGGGTCTAATTGAGAACTGACTGAAGGGAAAACGCAAGATGTCATAGGTGTTGAAAAGGCTGACAGCGCCTTGGCAATACTGTCAAGCCTTACGAGCAGCACTGCATTGCAGATTGACAAAATGTCATAATTATGGTTCAGGGATCATTTCTTAAATCATTCTTCTTGTGTCATTGTGTTATGACCTGTGTTTTTGCATCAACTGCAGAGTAGAAGAGTTTCAAATAATCCGCTGAAGATGGCAAAGTCCAGCCAAACTAAACCAGAGAGAAAAAATAAAAATGAAACTTGACAGACGAGTCAAGTTTACTTGTATATCTCAATATGAAGCAGGAACTGTCATGGCATGAGTGTGTTGTTTTGTACGCATTGTGTAGATAAAGACAAATCTTGGCCGGGTTACAATGAATATATTGTGCACAGTTGAAGTATTCAGCTGGAAAAATAGGATTTGAAGTGATTAAGTTCCCTTCCTGATCTTGTTTGCCATTGTAAAAATATATTTAGACTAAAAAAAAGATTCACACCAGCATGGAATGATCAAATTCACTCAAACTGACGGCCGGAAAGAATAATGACTGGAAATCAGGGCTGGAGACACAGTTGAGATGCTGACATGACTTGCATTTGTTTATTGTTATTTCCTTTACATTGTGAAAATCACCTGTCTAATAGTGCTTGTATCCATGACAAGAGCAATACATCATTTGTTGTCTTGCCATGTCAATTCATGCAGTACAGGACTTGTGTGATTATGTAGGATTCTGTAGTTGATCAATGGAGCCTCTTTTCATACCTTTAGTCATCAATACAGATTTTAACCCAGTAGCTGATGTAAATAATCACCAATCAATGTTGACATTACTGAATTGGGCTTTTGATGTCTCAAAAATATAGTAAATATTTTTTTAATACAAAAAAGTGCAGTTTGTCAACATGAAATCCTATGAAATCCAGTACAAAATATGAAGGTTTAGGGAAGAGTAATAAAATGACACATTTATACTGCTTATTAATACAGTCTTCCAGCAACGCTGTATTGTAAAGCCAATAAATAAAAACGAACAATACTGTACATGGGTCACACAAATCATGTGTTCTTTCCTGAAACTTGAGGATTTCACATTGAAGACAATGTTGTAGCACCGCTGAGTATGAAAGTCCCTTCAAACAGCCATGACCCATCTCAGAATAGCTCTCACGTGTGTACGTGTGTATGACGCATTTCATTTTGCTTGTTTCTTTTTCTTTAATATGACAACACAAAGCTTATTCCTGTTGTCCAGCTATCGAGAAAAGCCCACTCGGATAATTATTCTGTTTTTTTATCCCGCTGTGGAGTAAAATGATGTTTTCTCCCTTGCATCTTTGAAATATCCCTTTTCAGATCCTCTATTGATCAAGAATTGCGATGCAAGACCCGCACATGTTTATTGCATGGCAGTGTCTGAAACCTTGTCAAGTGTTTTTTTCATTGTTGGCCTGCCACCACTGGTTTGTGGTTGACCGCGAGACGTTGGGTGTCCCGGGCACAGATCTTTGCAATTACATACAGTATATAAACAAAGCGGGGGAATTTTTCAAATATCTTTTGGATATGTCAGGCCTGTGGTTCAATCAAGAGTCCCATTTTGCTAGTTCCTCCTCATAATGATCTCATTTCATATGCACCATTCCGATCGCTTTCCTGCGGCTTGGATGGAGTTCTTGTATTCAGATGTCCGGCATCACAGAGAGAAGAGAGGCCAACGCTCTTGCACTTCCTTTGAAGTGTCATTTGTTTTCACGGTCAAACCAGTCAGTCTCTTCAAGCATGGGTGTCAAACACAAGTCTTCTGTCTACCTGTCTGCGTCACAGACAGGGTCCCGCTGTGCGATTATAGGTTTGAATTTGAACATGATTGACAGCACTGCTTTCCATAGAACTTGTGGTTGCAGACTCCGTGCTGGGGCACCAGGTAACACCAGTTGAAGTAATCCCTACATGCAAGGTCTGTGGAGAAAATAAAAGACGTATGAAAGCTTGTCTCTATTGTGATAAGTCTTTTCTAGACTACAGATTACGAGCGTCTCTGTACAACCTTGAAGGCAGTACAATAATCTCTTGGCGCTTCTGTACCTTTCTTCTCCGGTTGCTGGCAGAAGTTTGTGTTGCAGGCCTGCGACATTGAGGGTTTAAGATGGAGGCCACAGGCAGGAGAGGGCTTCCCTTGGACCAGACATTGGGCTGTCCTGACCTGCACCCCTCCTCCACATGTCACTGTGCACTGCGGAGTACAGAGGAAGCGAAACCTCGATGAGAGATGGCAGCTATTCAATCGCTAGACTCCACACAAGCCGTAACCCAGCGGACATAAAAATGAATAGTTGCACTCGTCACGTGGTTCAGCAAAGTAACCCTGCTCCTAGGTCAACGTACCTGAGACCAAGGGGACGACTGCCAGCCGGCTTGAGGCGGAGGTTGAGGTGGACGGGTGAGGTGATGCATGCTCCATCGGTGGGCCGCTGGCGTGGTTTGGATGGGGCACTCGGCCTGGATGCAGAGCCTGTGGAGCTCGACTGAGGGCTTGGGGACGTGGTGGCACTTCTTGGCAGCGAGCTCTCTGTACTTTCCTGCCGTGTCCTGTGTGGTGGAAACCAAAAAGAATATTCATAAAAGCCGGAATATTCCACGGTGTAACATGTCACCCTCAGGAAAACTGTACGTTACAATAAAATACACAGCACTTTGTGCATTACAATATAAATATAGGTTTAAAAAATCATTAAAGCCTAAATTATAATAAATCAGGATCTGAGGCAATGACAATTTAAGTTCAAATGTTTCAAGTTACAGATTTAATAATTAGGAATCAATGGTTTGCTGTATTTAGTGAACATTATCACAGGTGATACACACCTTCTCTGCACACTTGATGAAGCGCGCCTGATTGCCACGGCCACACGTTGCCGAACACTGGACAGAAAAGACGTTTCATTAGCGAAAAATAATACATTTACCCTCTGCATCATTCATGCTGAATTCATTTAAGTTGTATACACATATATATTTCATCAGCCTTCATGACCCAACCTGAATTACCTCTTGCCAGGTGGAGACAAACCATTGGACTTTGCGTTGTTTCTGGCAGCGTTTGATGAAACAGGATTCTTGACTGGTGGGTTTCGACAGGCCAGCGCACAGTGTGTCTGTCAGCGTGGGCGTCCGGACCCCCGGGTTGGTGTTCGTGCAAAGCACCGTCCTCTTCCTCAAGCCGCTGCCACACTTACGAGAACACTGCCAGATAAACACAAACATGGTAATGATCACATTTGATGTCATTCAATGGAGCTAAAATGTTCTCTTTACAACTGGTAGATCACTAAAAAAAACATATTCTCAAGTTTCTCAGTCACCTTTTTACGGGAACGGATTTAACTGTCTATTAAACACCCAGTGGCTTATTTTGCTTTACGTACTGAATTCTCCCGTTGAGGTGTTTCAGATATTCATTGTCATCCTACACACACACACACACACACACACACACACACACACACACACACACACACACACACACACACACACACACACACACACACGCATCTCGAAGCAAAGCCTCAATGAATATCTTTAAAGTATTTCACTACCTTCCAGAAACGAGGGTCTGTGATGCCAAACAGGAAGTAAAGTGGACACCGTTTGTGGCAGGTAGTTAAGGATAATTTGGCTAAAATGACAGTTGAAAAAGTTTAACGGGGAGACAAGTCACCACACACAATGTACAGCAACTGGACTTGGAGCCAAACACGATGGCTCCCGGTGGGCACATTCATAGTTTAAAGCCTCTGAGATCACTGTCATAAAAAGTGTTAAAGCCATCAAGGCTAAAGCTCTTAAATGGCAAGTGTGTGTGTGTGTGTGTGTTTTTTTTTCCTGCGGTGACTAACAACCTCTACTGACTCACATCGCTGTGTGCACATTGGAAAATCTTACCTGTGACCACGGTCCGGCGGTCCAGACCGGCGGGCAGCTGCGCGTGTTGCAGGCCTGCCTCCGAGCCGGAGTGGGCTGCGCGCAGCGAGCGTCGGCCAGGGCGTCTGCGCCGGTCGGGCCGCTTCTCTGCTCGCACCGGACCAGCCGCATCTGCTCGCCTCCTCCGCAGCTACGACTGCAGCCGCCCCACTCTGCTACGGACCAGCTGGGACAACACAAGGCAAGGCCACAGGTTCACTCATTCACACGGGCCCGTGGGAATTCACAACTGACACGATGGCCGTGCAAACGATAGCGATGGCAGGAGACCATGCGCGTCTTATGTTCGAGCCATGACTCTTCTTCGGCGGCCGCTGCGTCTGGTTCTTCTTCAGAAACAACCCCAAATAATGTCATTTGAAACGAAACACCTCCTTTCAGCACAGGGCCTTTCACAGAGAAACCAAGCGCCTTGGCAGAAGACATCGATGATGTGATAACAAATGCAAAGGTGAAAATAAGAGTATCCATCTTTGACTATTCGCCTGTCTTAGTATATCACTGTATTCGTTGGAGTGTTGCGGGCACAACGCTTTCACATTTGTTCATGGCTTCAGCAGCGGAATCAATGGGCTTTTGCATTGTAACTTCCACGCCGCTGCACATTTTAAACCCCCTCTTTGCCTAAAGTCAGCCCTCATCACCAGTAAAAGTAAACATCATCACACATTTCTCTCATAATCACCTTCATTTTGTAATGCACACTCCTAACCATTGCACACGTTGGCACAAAAAGGGGCCTTTTCTAGATCAATTCAGCATTCTTGATATTTATTTATAGACTAAATTATCTCAGTACAAGCTTTTTTTGAGGGCATTCTCTTTTACAAAGCTGCGCGCAGGCAGATTGAATGTCCGAGCGGCTAATCCCAGAGCCTCTTCTTCCTTCCCTCTTCCTCAGAGCTTCATTGCATCGATCCTAAGTGACCCAAAACGTAAGGTGAACGCGGCTCAATCCTTCACCACACATTCTGTCAACCTCTCACTAAGTCCTGCAGTGGATCCACCCGTCCTTCTAAGATCTACCCGAACCAAACAATAACATCGTGGCCAGCACAAAGAGTTGTGTATATTAACAGCATAAACTTTATTTGAGGTAATTTAGGGCATCATTTGCTTGGAATGTTGTATAAGGAGGATAAGTAGAGTTTAGCTCTAAAGAGCATTCTACATGCACTATGGAATCTAAATAAATACAGATGGAGAAATTCCATCTGGTTTCATATATGTTAGGACTTGTCAAGAGGAAGAGACGTGCTGCAGTATCAAGTAAGTGCGAGTGATCAACACACAGATGAAACATATTTAACTGGGTGACGTAATGTGTATTGGGCAAAGGCAATACGAGCGAAGTCCGTGTGGATTTATTGAACACGTAAATAGGTGGTTGGAGACGACCAATTAAAGTCATAGAGCTGCTGTACATCACGTCTTCTAAGAGAAGAGACATATTTAGACACATTACACACACTGTTGGAAACTCAATACACCTCCTTCTTAATTTGTAGTTTTTCATAAATATTTCAATACTTAAAACGTGACAAGTATGTGGTGGTGCAATGTCTTCATTAACGTTTATTCTGTAAGAACATTTAACCTACTTGCTACAGAATAAAATCATACTTGTTTCGTCTGTCTTACATCACATCTCAGATATCGGTTTCTGCACAGAAAAGTCAAATTTAGTCTTCTTTCGATGAAGGTTTTAAAGCGGTACATGGTGTAACGGATATATTATAGCTTTAATTATCACTGAAAGGGAATTACTCCGATTATTGCCATCTCAAGTTATAGACCACCTTGTGATCTTGGCTGTTATTTGAAAGTGGGGACGTTTGGAAGATGAGTAAGCATCGCACTCTGCGCACAGAGGGGATCAGGCGTCCAGCCGACGGAGTGACGAAGTGATAGCTTCTGTGGTCTAAATGACGGCTGTCTAGCTGCTCACCACGAGGCACTAAATAACTTTAGTGTTTACGGCTGTGCCCCCTGTGTGTGAGCGTTGGCGTACGCAGTGACAGTGCGCGGCTCTTTCTCTGCTTATGTCAGTGTGCGGCCGTGAGAGAGAATTATATCATACTCTAAATGCGATTGGCCATCAAAAACCTTTTTTTTTTTTTTTCCATGATGTAATGTCAGCTTCAGTCCAACCTACTGAGTGCAGACACAGCAAAATAAAATAACTGCAGCGCCTCGAAATAGAATGAACAGCAGAGAAGGACGGATGGCCAAAGATAACGCGTCTAGTCTGGCCGGCATGTTTTGGTCGGTCCGGCACAAGTTTCTTCTTTTCACACTTGCGAAAGGAGGAGGGGCCACAAAAAAAGAGACATATGCACATATGCTGGGACAGTATGTCTGGGTTTAGTTACTGTACTAAGCGTTTCAAATAAGTGTATGTGATGATCAGAAACCCAAACACCACAGCAACACTGTAACTATATTATATGCATGCCATGAACGTTTCCTGTGGAATCAGAGACCTTTATATACCACAAACCGCTGCAAATCAGTGAAATCAGAGTGTGACATAAGTATGGAAACAAAGCCAGGAGGCTTCACCTGCAACCAGGAGGAAAAAGATATAGATTACCTAATATAATTAGTGTGCAAGTTCGCTGCTGTAACATGAGAGCTCGTGATGTTGTAAGAAAAGTCCTGAACCCCAAAGTGATTCACAAATTTCTGATAAGATTGGCATACAATGCTAAGTGAGAATTTAGAAGACATCACCTCGACAGCTATTAATACACTACAGATGCAATTGTACAATCATTAGATACACACAGATAAATTGAGGTATATTACATTTTAAAAATCCATAGATGATCTGATAAATATACTCAAGAGTCAACTGTTGACAGTTGTGAGACTTTTTACAGCCACTATTATCACTGCAAAAATGAGTGTAAACACTGAAATCCATTAGCAGATGCTGAATGAGGTGGTGTGTGTGTGTGTGTCTGTGTCTTTCTAAGTGGTGGAGAAGGTAAGAGAGCAAAAAAAAGTCAGGGGGAACAAAGAAATACTAGAGAGGATTGTCGACATCTGAGCCTACTTATAGGTGACTTTTAAAAGACGCAGCGAGACAGACAGACGCAGTGTGTACGTTTGTTATAAAGCCTCACAAATCCCTGCTGAGAGTTTGGAAGTGCTGCGACCCAAACACAACAAAAGTTGAATGACAGCTATCCTTGTCTGGCTGCTTGGTGTGTTTGTGTGTGTTTGTGTGTGTGTGTGTGCGTGTGTGTGTGTGTCTGTGTGGAAGGACAGGGTTGGACAGGTTACAGAGTAAAAAAGAGACCTTCAAAGTATCCAGGTCATCAGGGGTTACGTTTACAACTAAGCCGGAATAAGTCTTGCATCTACGCTCTGTTTAGCGCGTGAGTGTGTGTGAGTGTGTGTGTGAGTGCGTGTGCGTGTGTGTGTGTGTGGATGGGGGAGAGAGGTTGGACAGAAAGATCTCACAGCTGACCTCAAAGGCTTGAAGAGGGACAGAGTCAGACAGTGAGACGGGGAGAGAACCTGAGGGGGGTAAACGGACAAGAGACACGTGTTGCGTGTGGAATGAAGCATCTGTTTCACCTGCATCGTGAGAGATGAGTAAGCAGTTAAGTAGTGACTGAAACAGATGGAAGGGAAAAAGTCTCGGGCTACTAAACAATGACAGTGTGACTGTAGATGTTGAGGTGAAGCTTGAAGCCACAGACACAGGGAGTTTCTGATGTGCGCCCTCTTCTCTCCCGAAATGTTCGCTTCTGACAATCCATCTACCAATAGGAGCATAATTACATTTTCCAATGAGAGCGTGGCACAGAAACATAATCCGCGTCATGAATTGGGATCACATACATACATGTTTAGACTAAAATGTCCCGTTGTGTTATCGGATTTTGACAAGTGAACTGTGTAATTGGCATTTCAGTGAGTCTTGTTTCAATATGCTGGCAATCGCAGAGCGCATAAAATTAGCAATTAAATATAACATATTTTATGGTGAAATATTATCCTTTACTGAATGTTTGGTTCCAAAACGTTTTGCTTTCCATTGACGAGTAAATTGATTGTCAATGAATACCAATAGCGTGGAATTTAGTAAGGAAAAAGGCCAACAACACTAATGAACTGAAACATTTTCACTAAGAGAAACGTTTTGCAGCTTTTTTTAAAACATATACATATATATATATATATCATTAATATTCTGAGAAAATAGGAAAACGGTAATGTGTTGCAAATGAAAAACTGTAATGAAAGTTGAACAACTTTCATCTCAAGTGGCTGACAACTGTACAAGTGCATGCATTTCTAGGTCGGGTGGGAATGATCTGTAAAAACAGGCACTGATGCTCTCTCTCTTTTCTTTAATAGAACAGTAAAACTAAGCAGCAATGACTGCATAAATTACTGCAAATGAGTACACATGATGACAAAAAGAGCCATAACCATTTACAATGACTTACATGTTTGACTTTCCAAAGCTCTGTATCATCCCACATGGGTATATCTATCTATAAATATATCTTTTTTTCTTGTTCTGTCAACACTATCGTTACTTTAAGTCGGTGTATATTTAACAGCCCTGCGGTCATTATGCAGCGATTTCCTAGGATACCTTCTCCAAAACACAGACAGACACAAAATGAGCAAGAAAGAAAAAATAAGGCACTGTAACTGCTTAATAGAAGGAAAAAAACAGATGTAAGTTATTTTAAAACAAGAGGTGGATGATAATCTTACTGGGATTCCATTATTTCAGTACTGATCATTGGTGGTATGTAAACTAAAGTGTTTTTTTTCTCTGCTGTTTTCTGGACACCATCATACACAGAAAGACAGACTATTTTAAAGAAAAGCATCCAGAACAAAAGATTTGTGCACAACATGTTCTATTGTACCTTGAGACTTGACCTAGACCTGTTAGACTGCAGCGTTCATTAGGTTGGAAACGTGTTCCTTGGAAGCCGTGATGAAAGGGTGAGAGATTTCAGGTGTGAGTGAACTTCATAGTAACCAAACGCCACCACAGTTCTTCTCCTGCTTTGCCATGTAGTCTTCCTGTGTGCGTATGTGTGTGTGTGTGTGTGTGTGTGTGTATAGCAGCTACTAGCCGGTCATTCTGATCTTGCAATATATTAGCAGCAACAGCAGTGTCACACACTCATATGCGTGACAAAAACGACACTGCAATTTAATAAAATAATACATTCTAGAATCTCTTAACGTGTCACATTTTATGTTTTATTTGCTGTTTATAAAATTAATAAATATATAGATAAAATGTGCTTCTAATATTGAGAACTATCGTGAGGTATTATAACATTTCAAAAGGCTTGACTTGGCCACAGCAGTTTCACAGGCAGGGGACAAAGTCACATATCGGACACACAACAACGGAATTCTTCTGGACATCCACACGCAACACTGACCAAGATGAGGTCAGCGTCTCGGCTCAACCGCTCCGCTTATAAATTAGAGAACGACCCGTCAGCGGTGTCTAATGTAATTGCAAGAATCTGGCTGATATTTCCGACTGTAGCCAAGTGTGTGAGGGAATACCCAGAATAGAGCCTCAACAGCAGCTGTCAAAAGCCTCTAGATGAATGCTCTCTAGACAGGCATCTACTACACTCTGTGGCCCTCCTCCATCTACGCAGCGCTATTTCTGATAGAGGCTCTACACATACTTTGCTTTGTTTGAAGCCACCTTAGAACTTTTTTGGGACTTTGGCCAATAACTGCCATTACCGCGGGTGACATATTGAATTTTTTAGTACGAATTGTAGCGCTGTTTTACCTTCCCGAACATTTTCCAGTTACAGCAATAGCAACTGTCGCTAGGAGGTCGGTGTCCTTTTCTCGCCCTCTCGCAAACAAAAACGGAACGCGTTTGTCTCCTCTAACGTAAGCTGCATGAAGCAACCACTACACCGCGTTGCTTGACTTTATGAAAAAATCCCATTTTCCTCACCAAGATCTCCTCTCCCTATAAAACTAATGCTATCCCAAGAGTGTCTTTCGCTGAATTGTTTCCTGGCCAAGGCTTCACCAATCGTGACACAGTCCAGAGCAGCACAGACCAGGGAGGGGGAAATTTCCCCAGTGTGCGTCTTTATGCGTGTCTGTGTTCATACATGTCCCGCCTGTCAACGGACGCGCCACTCCCTACGCCGTCGGCCGCATTGGACTACGGTGACTGATCTTGATCCTCTGCCACGACTCTTGTGCGTCTGGGGACCAGACAGTGAGCGAACCAGCTACGCCGAGCCAAGATCCCACAGAACCTGGGCCTGGAACCACAGAACTATTAGCGGGGTCTCGCTGCAAACTCTCTCTCTCTCTTCATGGTGTCATCACACATGGTGGAAAATGTGTCCGTGCCGCTCTGAGCGACAGCGGGGACATTTTTACCAAATGGTCGGGAAGCTCGACGTGTGTTGAGACTGCTTTTGGAACCAACATGCCCCCGTCACTTCAGTGAAGCGGTTGCATTTTGAATGAAGCACGCTTCGTTCAACTGCGCTTAAAAGTGATGCCTTTCGGTGGGTCTTTATGGGGCGAGACAACTGGCGTTGTGTGTCCACAGCTCGGGGTCCCACAGCGATACTGCACGTGAAAAGGTTTACAAGTCATTCGGCCTGCTGGGTTTTAAAAGACAACACGGAAGCTTAACGTTCCTGACAGTTGGTGAGGCATCACGCAGAATTGGACGAGACGAGAATATGCAATGAAACCTTTTTCCCCATGTCTATTACACACGTTGAAGCCAAAATGCAAGTAATTTTTTTATGACACGAGAGGAAATTGTCCTCATCATAGAACAGGTGCTCTACAGGGCTGGGAAAGGGTGGAGGATACAGCCAGCTCCGCCTGACACCTCTCACTTGCTCTATTATGAGGAGATGGTGTGGGAAGTTCGGAAGAGTTGACTCAACTAATAAACATCTCTTTTTGACACCACATGTCAAGAAATTACAAAACAGATGTGTAGGTGTTGTAGACCAATAACACATGGCGGTTAGGAGGAGGGAGGAAGGTCAAAAGGACAGAGAAGAGGAAAACAAAGGACCAAAGCCCCATGTGGGAAAGTAGAGCTGCAGAAACGAAAGACACGGACAAAAAAAGACGTGAAGACTAAGCAGAGAGAATCATTCAAATACAGTACACACGAAAACCTCTTTACAAGCCTGTCGACCCATTTGGCCGGTGGCCCCTAAAGCTGCCTCCTCAAGTTCCAAACATGAACATGCATGTACAGAATGTCGAGCGGCAACAGCCAACAGTGTATCTGGCTGTCACGTAGCCTACAGGACAGAAAAAAAGCCCTAACAGGCGATGCCAATTCAACAATCATAGAAGTCTATAATTGTCTTGTTCCCTCCAAAATGCTTTGGATCAAGAACACATGAGGAAATGTCTGCATCGTTCAAATACATTTCCAAATGGTGTCCACAACATAGTGGTATCGATGAGGTCATCTGCACACTTTGGAGGGAACAGATTCTCATCGACATTACCCATTGCAGTGATGACATAAACTATAATCTGAGCAGCAAAGGTCTAAAGCCATTGCAGTGATGTAATATGAAAAACCTCTGCTTAGCATTTGAGCATGCAAATATTTGCTAATTACCACTAACACACACACCCACGCACACACAGTTGGGGCTGGTGGGAATGTCAATAGTAATTTAGTTATAATCCAAAGAACTGCACAAATCATGTTTTATCATTTTACTTTGACTGAATGATGAAACCAAATTCATTAAGATTCCTCCCCAGCGGCACCGAGGTGTCCATCTAATAGTTGCTGAAAAAAAATCTTGTTTTTTGGCCAGCGGACATACAGTACATGTGACGGAGCAGAGAGTCTGACCTGGCAGGACATGGTTGGGTGTTGCAGGGCATCAGTCCAGTGGCCGGTCTCGACCGGGGATTGCAGTAGGATGTATTCACTTGAACTCTCAAGTCTTTGTAGCATGCTGACTTGGTGTTCATCTGACCTGTGTGGGTGATTGGTGCACAATTTCAGGCACATCATTGTGAAAGGAGAACATTGTGTACACTGATAGATTAAATAGTTATTGGGAGGGATATTGCAGATTATTGACACTGATGTAGTATTAAAACCCCAGTGTTATTGAGCTAGATGGCTCATTCTTGGCATTACAAACAGCAGTTTGTCTTTGCGTGTGATGCTAATATTTGAAAACTTTTTACTCTTTTGCAAGTGCATGTAAACACGTGTGTCTTTTCCGCACACCGTCTTCTGTATGTGGGATAATATATGGGCAAGGAGACTTGTTGCCTTGGAAACCTTTAAAAAAATACAAATGTCTTTCTTTAAAACAAAAAAGATAATTGAATGAATGAATGAATGAATACCATGACTTCTCCTTGGCTAAGTATTTAGATCTGAAAGTCCACTTTTATTTATGCAGGACTTGAGCCTGATAAGCCTGTTGGTATTTGGCCTTGGGAATGGTCAATCTGCACATCCTAACTCATTGAGGTCGGTCACACTCTTTAATAAAGCAAACAACCCCCCCAAGGCATCATGGCCTACAATCAGCACACATAGAGGCAGAGGTGATTAGGGTGGACCACAACAGACCAGAGGGTGGGGAACTTTAACCTGCAGTGTCAATCAATAGGAACACTACACTGGGCGCTTTGTTCACAATGAAGTGTACACACACACACACACACACACACACACACACACACACACTCACAAAGAGCAACGTCTAAACCCACGTGAGCACTCACACACGCTCTCACGCACGCGTTCCTTGACTGACTTCCGGCCTCAAATTACCAGGCCGAGGTCTCCCCGGGTCATCAGTGTGTGCTCACTTAATACTAGGCCTCCGGTTGGACAAAGGCCACTGGTCAAAGTCATGCATGTGTTTGCTTGTTCCCTTTAGCATATCTCCGTGTCCGTGTGTTGTGTGGGCGCAAGTAATAGCAGGTCTCCAACAGAACAGGACGAGGTCCCACCGGTCCCAAACAAGAGCTACTAATGATGGGAACGCTGCCCTCTTCATTTAACCTGCAGCTAAACGCCTTCCTACAGATCAGAGAAGTCAGACATGAGCTTCAGATGAAGGCTGAGATTAAAGGATCTGAAGTTGATATGTTTTCTTCACCCATGCTACTTTTAAATAAGTGCAGATGTGAATGCACAAAAAAAAACACTTTTTAACAAGCAGAAAAAACTACGCTACATATTTGATGTGACAGGGGAGATGAAAAGGACCACACCACACTACGAACACATCTATGATCATTCATGCTTTCGCTTACCTCCGGCACAGGTAGCCGAGCATTGGGACCGTATGATCGCCCACGTGTAGTTGTGTTTGACGTGGCTCTTTTTCTCATCAGCTTTCTTCAGAGTGTATTCCCAACGTACACCCGGGTTCCTGCCCTGCAACAATATCTACAGGAGAGAGACTGTGGTAAGGGCCATTAGACAAAAGACAACAAAAAGTATCAATAAGTAAGAGTTACACAAATCTACATAATGATGGGAAGCAGGAATGAAACCCAGTTGCAGCAATACATACATGAATGGTTAAATGAAATGTATAACAACCATCAAAGCAATAAATCTGTGTCCAGGGATCTTTTACCTCGACGACTAGTGTCTCGTTAGTGGGGCCAGTTGACATTAGGCTCTCTGGTCTGTTGTATGGCCTCTTATACTCAAAAATAGCGCCAGCGATGGGGTGTCGGCCGGGCCAGTCCACCGTCCAGTGCCCGTTCAGGTAGTAGCGCCGCTGGGTGTCCCTGACAGCCAGGTAGGAGCTGGACGTGTTCAGTTCCATCACCCGGATGCTCCGGGCTCCTGCCGGGATTGTTAACACCCCGTAGTACTCTGAGAAAGAGAACAAAATATGAAGCAACACCCACGCAATTATGAAAGGGAGGTCAATTTAGTTGGTATAAAGAAACAAAGCGTTATCTTTTTAAATGTTTTTTTTGTGGGTAAAAGTCCCCAAAAATCCCCAAAAGCTAATGAGAAAAATGTAACTACTCTGACTTACGGTTGGTATGATACTGCTTGGTGAACTGTCCTTTGTAGATCTTGCAGGTGGAGTTGTCTCCACTACAGACCCCGCAAGCATCAGGCACAGCCGTGGAGCCCAGCACACGGTCACAGCCCACTTTCTGTGGGGGGAAAAACATGACTGATAATATACATAACATGCCGTGTGCTTAAAAATGAAGTAGTTCAAAACAACCATCAATTTCCCCATCCTTTGTGTGGTGACGTTTTCACCAGAGTTTCTACACATGTTACCCTGCTGCTAAATCCACACTACAACATGAAGGACCGTGTTACTTTATTACTGGTCGACATTTAGAAGTATTACCTCACACAGCCCGTCAATACAGACATTAGAGCTGTCCTGTGAGCAGAGTGTGCCATCCTTAACTTTGCTGGCCAGCGCAAAGAAGAAATCGTAGCCCTCAGCAAAGCAGTACAGCTTGCATACATCTTGATCTGGGAGGGAAGAAGAAAAACACAGCAGCCACAGACAACAAGCAATAGGTTACACGATATAGCCTGTGAGAAAAACTCTCCCCAAATACTTCCAAGTGAGTTTTTCTTGAGTGATTACAAGTAGGTGAGTGACAGTAGTCTCACCGTCCACGCGGGTGTACGGCCTCCAGCTGTAGTACCATCCTCTGAACTGTTTGCCATTGAACTCGGCACACTGCTGCGCTCTGTAGTCAGCGGCGTTCGGGGGACAATCCTCAGTGTTACATAGTTTGTATGACCTGGAGGTGCCCTCACAGAACTTCCCCCCATAAGCAGGTCTGCAAAGAAGTATTGAAAAATAAGGCTCCATTTGTTGCATAATACCGTTTACTTAATATTCAGTATTTTCACTAGAATATGCACGAACAAGACATTCTGAGGAAGAAAGAAAACACTTGTGTAGTTGTTGAACTACAAAGGAGCTGTGTGTACAGTATGTGTATGCCTTTGTAAAGGGCTGTATATCGCCAGACTATGTTCCTTAAATTCTCTTCCTCGGATCAATCAAACCTTCTATAAGCCCTTTAATCACATTCTCAATTATCTGTCTCTCATTCTCAGATTCTATTCTTTTATATTTCATGTTTTACTTTTTTAATCCGTTCTCATTTGTCTCTTTGCCCTTGTCTGTCTTTGTCTTTCTTGCCCTGCAGGACCAGCTCCTTCTCTTTCTCCGCAACGGACTCTGTCTAATTTAACTCGCCACTTGCCAGGAATTTGCCGTGACATGATGAATAAGGGGCCCCGGCATTTGGGATGGGGCCCTTTTACTGACGGGCAGAGCTAATAATCCTGACTGACGAGCATATGGACTAAGAGACCAGATAAGTGTTGAAGTGACGGACCCACGTCAGTGCTCTTCACCATTTAATCACATCTCTTAATATACTCCTGGCCTTGAGTTTGGCCGTTGCAAACAGTACCGACCGCCTCCGGACCAAAACATGATAATCTTTGGTGTGTCCTGTAAATTAGGAAATGGTCAAAATTATTTAACAGCTAACGTTTAGCTTTAGCTTTGTGTTTTTCCCGTGTCATGAGATTTTTTACTGCATAGTGTGCACCGTGATACGTGCCTGTGTATTTGACCTCCTGCTTGCAAGCAATAAATGGACTTTTTGCAACTTTGATCATTCATCAAGACTCTGTTTTATCAGACAAATAATTCTCTTCTACCGAGCTTTTATTGAAATATTCCACAACAATACTTTTATTATTAGTTTGAATGGCTTACTTGTTATGTGTCTGGTGAAATATACAAATCCAATTCATGTTAACAGATTCATTAAACAGAAGTTTATTCCCGCAAAAACTGGAGAAAGTTGGAAAAGAAGATGCATTTTTTAGAGCAAGGAAGTGATTAGCCTAGCTTCCCGTTGGATAAAACAGAGCAAGTATTTGTTGTAATACCGTGCAGCAGTGAGCTGGTACTGATCTCCTTATATAAATCGTAATAAGAAAGCAAAGCACTTATTGCCACAATTTCTCAACCTGTTATTGTGTACATCTCTACCTCGGGTTGTTGCACTGGCGCTCTCGATAGGTGACTCCGCTCTCACAGCTGCGCGAGCAAGCAGACAAGGGCGACCACTCTGACCACTGGCCATGCTGAGGCGTCGGGCCCTCGTCCCCCTGCTTCACACACTGGCCCCTGCGGCACCACTGCAGAATGAGAGAGAAGAGTTACGGGTGGAAGCGCAGGGAGGCAGAGAGGCCGAGGCAGCAGCAGCGGGGAGGCAAATGAGAGCAAAGAGCAAAGTAAAAGTGTCAAAAACATGTAGACTTTCCATTGGACTCTGCTCTTTAGCTTCTATGTGATAACTGTCCGCAAACTGTATACAGTCCAGTCCGGTCCTCGTTACAGTGACACTCCAGTGGTGCCGGTCTTTGGACAGACTATCTTTGAGCTTCCACAAGATAGAAATGTGGAAAAAATGTCTCGAAGCTGACAAGGTTATAGTCCTTCATTAATAGACCGTCTTTTGAATGTTATGTTCCCATCTGCCGAATCAACTTCGAATCAATTCTTTTTTATTTTTTATAAAAGCAGTCAATTTGAAACACAGAAAGAACTATACAACATGAAAGAGGTTAAAATACCAACAATACACAAATTAATATGATAATATTTGGTGCTAAAACAAAAATACAAATATTTGCCAAGCAATGAGATAATTTAAAATCCTTCAAATCAAATAAGTGGGTACGCCTTTTTGAAACCCGTTCATCTGTATTTATAAGTGTTGTGTGCATCCTTCTTTAAGAACTACACGAGAACCAGCAGATTTTAACCATACGACTAACAAAGTAATGTGCCCATGTTCTCCCAATGTGGTGAGGCAGAGAGCCAGGCGGTCACATAAAGTCACCAGCTGCTTCTTTTCACCCTGCAGAGAGGAGATCACTAGCTCCCAGGACGCCGCAACTCCTCTACAACAAAGTGGCTTTCCACCCATGATGCCTGCAAAATGTGTTTCCCTGTTAGGCAAGCAGACCAGGCAAGAGAGGAATACTAAATGAAATGGCAACTGAAAAGTATAATAGAGGTGCTAAATAAAGCTCAAGTAGTTTTTTCTACGTACCTCTTAAATCTATTCATCATCCAACCAATAAAAAACATATACAATGTACACAATACAATACAATTTACAATGTAAATTAAGAATTTAGTTTTAGTAAAAGCACCGTTATGTCACGTGGCTGTCCGCCGGCACCGGATTAAACTGGATTGGTGCATGTCAGGATGACATCAGTCACCAACTGCTTATTTCCCAGCGATCTCCAGCAAGCAAAGCCACACTGTGCCCACACAACCCGCTCATGCATCAGTATTGATTGGGTGACATATATTAACCGGGTCTTATTCTCTTTGTTTGTCCACGCCTGCCACAAGTCACACACTGCAACACGCACATTCTCACACACCCCTGCAACTAATCTCAACGTCCTTGACTCGAGCACCAGAACAGCTGATTTCCCCTCAGTTTTCCCCCTGCGGCTGAGTGCCACAGATTCCTCAGTGAGCCGGTCATTGTTTGTGTTCAGCTAATTGTCCCGTGGAGGGGAAGGGCGGGATTAAACCATCAAGTTCAATATATAAAGAGGCAAATGTGGATGAGGGGCTGTCAGGAGAGGGTAAGAAAGAGAGAGAGAGAGAGCATTGGGGGGGAATCATCTTGAAAGAAGTAAGGAATGAAACAAAGAATAAATAAAGAGCACAGATTGCGTTTTGGCCCGAGCCCCAATGGCATATTTTTTGCCACGTCAGCAACAAACCGATTGCAGCTGCTCCTTGAGGTAAAATAACGAAGGGAGAGTGTGGCAACCTCTATCAAAAAAGAAGAGATTTATACAGAGACTGCACTCAAATGAACCCCAATCACAGAGAATCTGAAGACTTTTAGAAGTTGATTCATTAGCCTGCACTGGGACAAAGGACATAGTGTCTTAATAGACGACTTAATTTAATTTAAGCATCTCCATCAATTTCTCTTTGTCCACTGTGACACAATCTCCCTTGTTGTTTAGTGTGATTTGCTGCTGTTACTCTCGAGGTGACAGAGCTTGTGAGCACGGCCAGCGCCTTTCACCTCACACACACACACACACACACACACACACACACACAGATATACATGTTCATTCACCATATCAGGGCCGCAGGCTGAGCCTTCGGCCGCTGGCATGAACTTGGTCTCACACTTCCTCCCAACGCGGTGGCACCACAGAGCTTTGCAGATATCCTGAAACAACACAGGAGAAGAAAGTAAATTACACGGTGCTGCTAATATGTTCTCCTGCTCAGTATCAGTATCTCACAACAGCTGTAAACAAAGCTAGCGATGGGAAGGTCAACAAATAATGCAAATATTACTATTTAATTTTACCTCCAGAGAGCTACTAAAACAAGATGATGGACATTTGCGGAGATAGATATTGTCTGAATCATGACCTTCTGGCGAGCTTTCAGTGTGCTGCAACCTTGTATTTCCAAAATATTTATGCTTCAGTAGCTAGGGTAGGATGTGGGATGACAAAACACCATTTTATCAACACACAGGCTTCACATCTCATTGTTTCTGCAGCCAAATGACAAAACAATTAAATGATAGCGCTTATGTAATAATTTCATGATTTCCTTTGCCTAACATACACTGCATCTTACAGTCAGATACATTGAAACCCAAAAATGAGACAATACTGTGTAATTAAACTTTCACTACTTCGTGGTTGTGTTTGTCAGCAGAAGTCTGAGAGGTTCGGATCGGACCTGTCATTTCCTGACATGGCCTGCTGCTTTTTACATATATCCAATTTATATTTATATGTATATATATTTCTCAATGACTATATCAGATTTGGACAACTCGGTGCAGATGTTGACAGGCACCTTGGCCTTAGCTTGTTGCTGCCGAGAACCACTATGGAATTCTCCCCAAAGCCGATCAGTCCAGCTGTTTTGCTTGCTCAGGCCTTTTGTAACAGTAAAAATGGCAGAGAGGTGCAAGGAAACGAGTGAGTGAGTGATGGAAGGGACACAGAGGGCCAGAGACGTAGCTGAAGTGAGAAAACACAATCATTTACTTAATGTTTTTGCATGAATAACAAGTGTCTGGAATGACAGCGAATGTGAGTGCTGCTTGGGGACTGTGGGGACACCTTACGGCTACCAGGTGCATGAAAAAAGACAATGCCGGACCAAAAACAACGCCATAAGGGAGTAATTCTATATCCTACAGTTGTAATGATGCATGCACCGTTTAAACGGTCGGGCTAAGTAGGAAACCATGTGCTAATATCCCCGGTGTCCTAGCACATCATCTAAGGCATTTCGAAGCCCTTTTACAACATCCTCTTCAAAAAGGCAGACAACTTTCAGTGTGACCTTGAAAAGGAACAAGGGGAAGAAAGCCAGTCATGTCCCGTGCTCCAACAACTGGATTGGAAAGCAGAGTAGAGATAGATCCTTGGGTGGGAGATCCACTTCGTCTAAACCAAGGACTGCACACACTAGACCCAGAACTGTATAACATGGCCTGAATTTCTTTATTTGAAATGGGATGTACGTTGCTATCGTCTAACAGTTTAAAGGGCCTGAATCACCTGAACGGTCAAATCTATTGTTGTCAATAGACGGCTGGAGGGCACGAAAGTAGATAAGACTTAATAGTGCGCAAGTGGTCCTAAGAGCCTTTTTTCAGGGCTGAATGAGGATAAAAGCGGTTAAATCTTTCCACTGACTGAACCGCCCGGTAGATTTACTGTCTCAAAAACAACTAATAAAAAGCCACCCACTCCCTTTTCTTAGGTACAACTCCTTTTCTTCTGAAAGGGCAGGTGCATATTGCGTGGTCCAAGCCAGGTCCCATTATCGTTGCAAGCGTGATCACTCCTCCAGACGAACCACCAATCTTTAAAAAGATCTTTCAAGTGCCATTACACACTGAAGTGATGTGGACCCTTTATCTGTCTACTCTCTCTCAAACAGTAACGTCAGCAGTAATGGGACAATGGGAGAGCAAAAAGGGATAGATTCCCATTGGCCACGCGCCAGTGTATATTTAGTCATCCATCCCAGTGAGGGTTTCATGACCACAATTATAACTGTTGCTGTTTATTTTGTGTTTGTGTGTGGGAGAAATAGAATATGTGTGCATGTGTCCCTATGAGCACATGCAGGAATTCAATCCTAATCCGTTTTTCTATTCCCTCCTCTATCCCTCATTCTCCCTTTTTTTTCTCCACCCGTTCTCATTCTGGCCTCAATCTCCCTCACTGTGTTTTTCCCGGGGAACTATTGCCACCACGTTGCTTTAAAGTAATTGAGCACTTGAGTTCTCAGTTTGTGTGTGTGTGCTAAGAAAAACCCAGAGAAAATGTTTGCATGTCATGGGATTTTTTAACTTGTCTTTACATTTGCTTGGGGTGGTTTTATTTGAGTCAAAATCAATTTTACCTTCTTAAAGTCCAGGGTGCAGAGCTTGGCCTTCTCCCCAAATTGCCATTTACACTGTGTGTCTGCATCGTACAGCTCGCCAGGCAGCTTCTCGGGGTACCGATACTCCTTGACGGCTCGGGGTTCATCTGATAAGCACACAGCTTGGGCAGAACTGGGGCAGAAGAGGATAAAAAAAATAAGTCATGGAAAAATAGGTAATTGAAGCCAAAAGGAGTGGGACAGGAGAAGCAGAGCGGCGAGGCGAGAGGAGGTGAAAAGGCCAGTGGAGGACATTGCGATATTTTGAAACGGGTGATAAACAACATGCATGCAGTCATAAACAGTCAAATAAACATGGGATTCAGTGCTTTATGATTTAAACGTAAGGTTTGTAAGGCTCCAACAGGAATCACCGGTCAATGATGCTCGACCTTTTCTCACTTTGGAGAGTGCTGTACAGTGTCGCCATGGTAACATAACAATGTTGCCAAACTCAAAGCCTAAGAGTAACGGTTTTAATGCACCGGGGACTCAATTAGGATGGACATATAAAATCCTTGCCCATACCGCTCACATCCTAACACCAGCGGGGGGTTTCCAATGTTAACTGACAGCAGTGGCTACTATACAAAGATGTTTTACTGCTTATACACTGCCGTCAGGGGAACGTAGTGCAACAATTTGATGGAAAGAGCATGAAAAGGCCAAAAAATGTTTGAAAGGTTCAACATTCTAGTGAGGAGTCATGATTGCTTTAGCAGAGTGTGTGTGTGTGTGTGTGTGTGTGTGTGTGTGCGCGTGTGTGTGTGGTGGAGAGGGAGATCTATCGCTTTATAGGTCCATGGTGTCTACAAAGAACAATGGCTGTTCTACAAGTGCAATAAACTGCATTTCAACATTATTCACATAATAAGGTTCCTGAAAAATAAATTACATCTACAATGTACACACGTCAGCATGGAGGCAAGTAAGGCCTGTGAGCAAGCAGCACCGGACATCTAGTCACACGTGAAATTAGGTGCCCGTGTAACAGATGCACTTTAGAAATTTTCATATTCATTAAATGTTTTGAGACTTTTGAGCATTGTACACATTGAGATTATCAACAGCTGCAGATTATATCAAATGTTCAACCCTCCCAGAAAAGGAAAAAGCAACATTCTTTTCTTCTGAATTCCTGGTTTGTAGGTGTAGCAAACACGAAGACGGCAAAATGATGTTAAGTGGCCGGGGAAAAAGTCTTGACATTATGCCAGTGACAAGACTGCCAAAAAGATCAGTGGTCACAGGTGGATTCTCAACTGAGGAACACTTAAAAGCCGATTAACTACAATAGCGGGGAGCAGCCAGAAAGGTTCTGTCCAAAGTTAACAAAATCCACCTATCGACGCCTCGAAAGCGCGCAGATTAACTCGTTGTTTGTTTGATCAGCACAAAAACTGAATCAAGCACAGAGCCCTTCATAAAACCGAAGACTCTTACAAGTGTTAATGTGTTGATCTGCTGCTTTAGAAGTCAATGATTAACACAGATTCTTCCACAATAGTCGAGTTCTCTGTGTCCAGTCGTCATGCTGACCCAAACGTGTCATCTGCCGGGTCCCAGTTATCACGCAGAACTAAGATTTGGGCCAGCGGGTCACACTAGGCAAAGAAAATCTTGCAAGTTTGATGTTTCATTGGCTGTCTGACGGGTTTTTGCCAATGCTCAGGAAACAACGTCAAGTGGCTTTGAAAGGAATATTACTTCCTTCGCCACGAAAGGTGTCCATCCATTCTAGCCATGAGGTCAGATGACGCGCCTGTGCATAGAGTGTTGGCACAGACGCTTTGTCGCAGCTGACTGGGGAGAGGTGGACTGAGAGTGAGTGTGGCGTAAACTACCCCTGCCTAACAGATAGAAGACATTTATTGGTCTTGGTTGAGGCAACGGAACACATTCAGCCAAAAACATTCAAATGTCATAACACTTGAGTGTAATTAAGAAAAACAAAACAACATTTCATCATTCTTCTCATTAAGTAGTAGTAGCGACCCCTTGTTGTTCCGGTGCTGATGAGGTCCCCTCCACGTGGCCTCAGGGGACGACGGGAGTTTAATATCAGGCTGACAGGCGTAACAAGAGTGAGGTCAGCCCAGCTCTAATAACTCAGCGAGGAAATACACCGTCTGTCTCCACCGCTCTGAGAGGGGAGACCGGGCCGCTCAGCTAACACACTGGTAAATTTAGTGGCGGCCGCTGGCTTTGAGCTATCTCCTTTCAAGCACTCACACGCACGCACAGACACATAGAAACACAGCCAGACACATGGACGCTACGTCTGTGATGCTTGTTTCCCTCACATGGATGAGCAGGCTGTATGCAAGGATATGCACAAACACACACACACACACACACATGACTTTCCCCTCTCACACCCTTTCTCCCACACATACGTTGACACATCATTCCTACAGTATGTCTATGCAGTTTGTAAAATAACACTTACAGGAGAATAGCAGCACCACATATTACTTAGTTGCAATGTCAGCTACACAATATATTCCTCCCACTCATATTCAGTAGGCCCTGTTGGTCCTTGCTGTTGCAAAAAGTAAGTCCCATAATAGTTATAACATAGATGCAGTCTTTCCCTTACCGCTCTGTGGATCAGAGCAGCAGTTGTTACTGATATGTCCGCTGCTGACATGGTTTTTCTATCAGTAACACGTGAGGAATAATAAAAACAAAATTGCATGTTCAAAATGGCTTTGACCTGAGGGACTCTTGCTTTATAAACCGAAACAGTGCTTTATGTCTTTGTTCCGTGAACACAGGCATGGAGAATTACTCCTTTCTCAATATCCATGTGCCATATGGATGTGATTGAACCTTTCTATGGTGTAAACGTGATCTTCAAGAGGTCATATCCATGAATGGCATATTTAAGAATAAGTGCTTCTTAAATGCATTATTTTAACACTGTTTTTTGCAAAACAACGAAAGCATTGAATGAGGAGGAAAAACGTGTGCTTACTTGAGAAAGCGGCTGAGATACTGGCGGCTGCAGTCAGACCAGGAGAAGATACCATTGTGACCCGCTAATGTGGGAGACATGATGTTGCCTTCTGACTTCTTACAAACGTTTCCTTCACCATCGTGGACCATTCCAAAACTGCGGCGCGTACAAAACATATCAAATCATCATAGTGCTCCATTTGAATTAATTGATATTATTTCATTCAACAGTAACATTAGAAGACAGGTGGCTGTACCATGTAGATGTTTGTGTCAAGGAGGAGCAAACAAAAAGCCCAACAGTGCGTTACTACGGGGATTTGTTCTTGCACATGGAGATAAAATGACAGCGATGCAAGAAAAAAAAAACCTGTGGCCTGATATCGTGGATCATGGTCAGACATCATTTTCAGCACTTTCATTTTTGTCATCATGCGCTCACGACAAGGATGGAAGTCCTTACTTGTGTCCGGATTCATGGGCAATAGTGAAGGCCAGACCCAGGCCCGTGTCCTCATTAACGGTACAGCTCCGGTACTTGCTGCACATCCCACTAATTGGAGCAAAACCTGCAGAACCAGTGATATCATTTCACAAATGTTACATCACACTTATTATAATACATTATTCCATTAACGATAACTTTGCCCGTTCCAACATAAACGGTAATTGATTGATTATAATAACCACTGTGGAGCTGTGTTTGATCCTACTAAACAGAACAGACCTCTTAACTTTAACAGGATTCCCTCAGATGAAAAGCCCAAAACCGACCGCAGCCTCACATCACATACATTAAAAATCAAACACCAAAACTGGGTTAAAACCCCTCCTCCATGTGTGAAAACACGGGACTCCATGGAAACATTCCTAGATCTCCCGCTACCTTTAAAACATTCTCTATCCGTCTCCACTTCTTTCTCACATCTCTCATTCTTTATTAAACAGCTCCCTTTATAACTCTCTGTCTATTCCTCTTCTGTCTCACACACACACACACACATACGCACACACACACACACACATACCAACAGACACACAAACTGCCCCCTGGCTCTGAATCAAAAAGGATAATGCCCAAGGGGGGCGCTCTTAATGTTTTTGTCTCGGTGTCTCATGGAGAGTTTATCCTGATGTTTTGTTATTTTACGGCCCAAAGTCACTCGCTATAGGGAAGAGAACTCCTAAAGTAATCTTCCCATGTACATTGCTTATGTAAATAACCATATTAACCACAGGCAGACAGATTGACTGTGTGAACTACCTTTTAGTTCCCTTTTGGAGTGAGGGAAGAGGTAGATTAGTGATATTATACAGTAAAACAGCAATGGGACAATAACAATAATGCAAATAAACTGTGTTGTATACCGACTGGTGACTCTTGCACCTCTTTAGAAGTAGTCAGAGCCAACTCGGTCTTGACTGCAAACACAAAGAGACGCACACAGACCTTTGAACTGGGCTTTCATAGCAACAATTAGGGCTAATGCTAGCCTCAACACTTTGAAGTCAAAACTTACATCTGGGGTTTGAAGGGAATGTGGGTTTTCTTGTACATCTGTGTGTGTTTGAGTAAGAACTCGTTTCTCTGGGACACAAAATGGAAGGTTTTTCTCACAGTGGGCAAGACAGTAACGTGTTTGCATGGTCATTACCACAGACAAGCTGTAGTTAGTTTGTTAGCTGGTTCACGCTCACAAACTGAGCTTGAGTTTGTTTAAAGTAAGCAAGGCCTAATAGCCAAGAAGCACCTTCTGAATGCTCTGCCAATCCAGTAAAAACACGATTACCACGTGTCCTTTTCTTATATTCTTCTGACATTGAAAAAGGTTTTTCTGTTTTGGCTGATATGTCGCTGGTTCACATTGTGTGGCTTCTCCCCAGAGAAAGACCGCAAGAGAGCCTTACTCCTTTCAACAGCAATAAACAACCGACAGATGGCATTTATGTGACAAAAAATACTTTCCTAATTGTCATCATCTTAACATCTGATTTAGAGTTTCTTCTTGTCCATGCTTTTGCGGGTATTTACAAAATGGTTCAAATGGCCATTTTTTAAACTGATTTTAACGTCGCGGGTGTCGCCTACCAAGAGTGTCACAGGGTTCATTCTTCCAGGAGCAGATGTCGAGTCCTGTGAGCAGGATGGCGTGGTCGTGGTGTCTGCCCTGTCTGCCGCCCAGAGTGGACTGCCAGTGGCAGAAGCTGTTCAGCGTGTGATCTGCATGGTGGTTGATCACCAGGCCGTCCTGTGAGACGAAAGGAGCCAGAAAGACAGACAATGTTGTCTTCAAGGAAGGAAGCCGTGAGCTCAAAGTGCTACGGATTTAAATGATAAAACAGTTGGTCGGATGAATGACTTTTTTTTCCCCCTTCCCTCTGCGGTGACAGATCTTAATCAAACCACCTCACAACATGACATTTATTGCTAATCTGGTTACCAGATCCGCCCCTATTCTTCACATTCAATTAACTGTATCTTTAGACATATGTTATAGCAATATGAAGATGTGAGAGGGAACAATGATTGCATAAGTGTTTCTAAGATACACATCTAGGACATTTTGCCATTTTTGGCATGGTTCCTGGGGATAATTGCCTCTTAAAGGAGATTGAAATCTATTAACATCACAGGTGGGATGGAAACCAGAAGCCGTTCGCCCCGGTCTACTTGACTCTTGGTTGACAGTGCCCCACCTGTTCGACTCGCCTTCTTTTTCTCTTGTACTAAAAGTATCCTTCATTCTCCCGCACTCAAAGATAATTTCCCTCCTAAATCTGGCAAGGATCCAAGGAAATGCACACCCTATAATTAACCACTGTAATTGTCAACCCCAGGAGCCCGAAGAGATCTGGACCTTCAGGCATTTAGAAAAACAAACAAACAAATGATCTGTTCCTTTTCTCATTCCTTTCAGGTCTGAAGCTCACAAACTGTCCCTGGTGCCTGAAGTCTTTTAACAGTATGAATAAATAATAATCTTCAGAACCTTCAACCACTAAAACCACCAATACAATCAGCCATCGGTCACAGTGTAACTGTTTGAGTAAGTGGATTTTTATTACATCTCTAAGTGTTTTCACCTGAAAATGCTTACATGCTTTGAAATGCTCACCTGATCTTCATCCAGAAGCACAAGGCCAACAATCACTATGTTGATGTTCCCCCCTATTGTGCCGTCTTTGAAGAGACTGGAGACCTAGGGCAAGCAGACATAAATTATCACATGTTATTACAACTATTGTTTACAAAAATGCCTTTAATCCGTCTACAATTGCCTTATTACTTCAGCTCCAAGAATGTGTTTTACCAAACAAAGGCATCGTCTAGTTAAACCCGACCTGTTGAATGGGGGAGGTGAGCATATAATACTTCTGTGTATTTTTTGGATTAGATTGGCGCTACTCTGTTTTCAGACTTGATTATGCAGACTAGCATTAAGCATGATTAAGATTATTATGATTAAGCATGATTAGTCTGATTGAAGTATTCAGAAGGTATCTGGACTGAAACAATGAGAGCTGTGGGCCAAGCTTACCAACTCCAAATAGAGTCTTAATCTTACTTTTATTATACTCAGGATCTATAGAGTGAGTTATTTCACTATGTGGACAAAAGGGCGGTCTATGTCAAATGTATAGGACAACACACCTGTTTGGTTAGGGGTATCACTAAGGTATGAGAGCCACAACTGCTGTTCTCAATTCATCTCACACAGGTATCTGGCCGTCAACAAGAACACTAGACTTCAAAAGTGGACTCAGGTGCAAGTCCCCCTCCCCCACAACCGCCCGTTAATTTTAACACTGTCAATAATTCCCCATGTTCCTGATGTTTGGACTTCCTCTGCGCTGACTCATGGGAACCACATGGCTGTGGTTTGTTACCAAATTCAGGCTTAATACATCGGTCAAAGAGGCGGTCGAAACCCCAACTTAAACTAAGGTCTCCTCGCCATTGTTTGACAGAGCTCCAGATTTGAAAAAACCAACGGCTCCAGTGAATCACTGTGTTTTCACTATCTCACAGAAGAAATCCATCTACAGTTTCCAAAGAGCTCCACTATGAAGTGCTACATGAAGTGTTTTATGATAACACTTCCATGGTAAGAGGTTTTTTTTAATGCCATTGAAGTCCACCCACTTACAAAGAAAACAAAAATCTTCGCAATTGCTGGAAGGGCGTATCAGATTTGACTTTTGACAAATATTAAGTAACCTTTTTGAGACCCATGAGAGGTGGCAGCTGGGTTAAGGGGGGAGGAGGGGTTGTGTGTTTTCTGTGAAACTCCATACGGCATTTAGTTGACTCCTCTGAGGCGGGTTGTGACTGCTCCAACTTGGATTTCTACTAGAGGCAATGATGTTTTCAAAATAGACGGATTATCTTTGGATTTGTCAGTCAGTCATTAAGTAGCAAAACGACCGTGACGGAATTTGCTCGCGGATCAGCTGAGAGGGACGGCGGACACTGTTAGCGTCGCAGCAATGATCTCACCCAGATATCAGTTTTCATGTTTTTGAATGTGCTCATTTGGAAAAGTGAGGATGGAAGACACGGGTGTCAAGTCACTAAACCCTAAAACCAAGGAATACTTTAAACCGATTTATGCGGGGCTTCCAAATGAATCTCTGCCGATGTTTGACTATTACATGCTACATAATGACAATTTAGCAATTGTCTAACAGGCCAAAACGTTTTGTGTTGAGAGGAAATAAGTCCCGGCTTTTCTCTCTAATACACTTTCATATGATGTGTTGAAGGTTTTCTTCCCTGCATGAAGCTCAAGACAAAGTCAGAGTAGCCAGTCGAAAAACTTATCCTACATCACATTTCCTGTTCAAAAGGCTGAGCAGGCCTCGCTAGCAGCATTAATCGTGTTCTTAGTCAGGCATGCTAGCATGCTAACAGTGGCTAATTGGTGCTGAACACAAACACTTTCCCTCACCATATTAAGCACGGTAAGAACATAAGTGGTGATGTTCTCGTGACCGTGGTTTTCCATCATCTTCCTGTCCACCACCACCAGCGTCTCCACATTGAGCTTCTGATTGGCCTGGTTCTGCACCGCTCTTTTGTTCCTCAGGTTGATCTCGTACTCGTCCGGAAGGATGAAGGCATCTTCTTCCGGCGGTTTTGGCATGTCTGAATAAAACAGGATTTAGAATAATGGGGGTGAACCAAATCACAGTGTCACAGTTTTGAAAGAAAAACAATATTCTGCAACTAGAAAAACCGAGTGAAATGATGTGTATCACACTGTGGCAGCAGAGTCAACATGAATAGAATCACACTGTATAGTGACCAAGAGTGAAGGACAGGGGTGTATTACAAATATACACTCCTTCCTTCCCGCAGCTGATTATCCTTAACTTTTACTTTCTATTGTCACTACACACCAGTCGCTGGTGTCACAGATAAACTGTAAAAAGTGATTATTATTAATACATTATTAATAGGAGCAGCTGGCCACTCAGAGGTTCTTATATACAACTGCTTTATGAATGCGTTTTGCAGTTATTACCTAGACAAATTAGACAAGTGTTTTTGAGATAAGATCATCTGTTTTTTCCAAAAAGGTTTTTGACTCTCCTTGAAAGCTGAGTCCCCTTTGGAAACCCGTGTAACATCCATCCTTACGCCTCAACAGTACAAACAAGTCAAAGATAAGCAAAAACTAATGTAGCCAACGTTATCACCTAAAATCTTCTCCTCTACGTTTCCAAGTCATCAAAACCTTTCCAGCTTGGCTGCAATAAATTATAAAAGCCAGAAGGTTTGCTTATATGGGCGGACAGCAGGTGGGCAACAAATGTGCCCACCTGCCTACCTTATGACACAGGTGTTCAATGTTATCATGCAATGAGAATGTAAATATCAGTGTGTTTTCCCAGGGGGGCAGACATTCCTGCAAGGTAATGGTGGTGGTACCAGTCCCATCGCTGCCTGCTTGCTTTCCAATGACCTCTGTGACACCAGCATGTTAACTGATCTGGTTGTAATTCCCTGAGAGCAAACATTTGTCGCAGAGTAAAGTGAATATAAAATATTTCCCTTGGCCTTTCACGTCAGGTCACGTCACAAATGTCAACATAGACTGAGATAATATTCTTAAGAAGAAACTTTAGTCATCAAGTGAAAAACAAATCCAAACCTTCACAAAAGTGTGGGGTCCTTTTTCAATGAAAATAGATTTATAATATAGCTTCTTGTAGTCGGTAAAAACACATATATTGTTTGCTCTCGTTCACACAGGCAAGATGTTGCACAAATGTTGCATCTCAGTGGTATTTGAGAGTGCAGTGGATAATGACACTATGCTACACATGGATTAGAAGGAGAAATTGCCCTTACATACATTTCTTCCGTCTCCCGCAGAAGTGTTGCCTCTGCTTCTCTCCGTGTGTGCGGTCGCCGTCGAGCCGACGCCTGGTGCGACGATGACCGCGGCCATGACGCTCCGGCTGGTCACCGCGGCTGATGTCACCTTTTCGCTCTCCCTGAACGGCGGGGTGGGCGCGAGGGTCGGCCGCCGAGTTCGCCGATCTCTTGGCGACAAAGTGGCCGTGTGATTTGCGGGGACTTGAATCCGGGGATCTCTTCTGAAGCACCCGGGGGCCGTGACCTCTCCGCTCTGCGCGGGGCTCCCTGTCGCTCTTGTAGAGGATGTGTGGCTGGTGGTCGGAGGGTGCTGTGAAGTTCTCTCTCCGGGCCAGGCGATGGGACACGGGTCTCAGGAAATAGTCTGCATCCTGTGTTCTGATCAAACCTGACTAGAGGCAAAACAGAGAGTGCTGTTAGCTCCACGGTGCCGGTCTCTCTAGGATCCATTTAGCCCAAAATATGCTTTGGAGTTGGTGTGCTAAACAGCCGGTACGTTCTCTTCACAAACTAACCCAACCGCCTGCAGTCACATTATTATGTATGAACAGAATACTGTCATCTTCAGCTCTTCACTCTTCACAGCTTTTCCAATCCGTCTGTCAGTAATTACTCATGTTTTTTCTCCTGGGTCACTGTGAAACTGCCCCCCCCCCCCTAAACGTGAGGATGAAAGGTTTCTCTTTTCAAAACAATATAAACGCTTGCCGTCCTCAAAGTTTAGGCGTTTCTTACTTAGTCTGCAGATACTCTTTTGACTAGGTAAGTATGCACGTATATTAGAAACCTAGCAGTAATATATAAGTATGAAAATGAAAAGCTTTTTTTTTTAAAGTTAGTTCTTAGATGTAATGAATACTTCTCGCACCTTGAAACGTATCTCGCTGAGGGCCCCACTTTAAGTGCCAGCGCCTTATGCTTTTGATTCCAGGGGAAGTTATGGGAAAGCCTATTATAAATCTGTAAAGGTGCAGCACAGCTTCTCTTCAGTAGACCTTATTCTCTCTCTATCTCTGTCCGTCTCAGTCTTTTTAGGAGACAGATACTTTTCCGTGGAGATTTCTTGGTGTCTGCCTCAGTCTTTTCCAAACACGCAACACATCTGTGCGGACAGACAACTGGCACAGAGTGTTTGGACTGTAACTGTTCCTGGCAAACATAGCATTTTCCCTAAAATACGTTCAATTGACAAAAAACAAAATGTTCACTCAGAGTCGAGTGTGAGGTCCTCGGCTGACAGGAACGGGCTGACAAAAGTGCCAGTTGTGAGGCTGTGTCTGGCCTGGAGTCAGTGTGTATCCATATGTGTGTGTGTGTGTGTGTGTGTGTGTGTGTGTGTGTGTGTGTGTGTGCCTGTATCAACAGAGCACAAAGAGGATGTGTGTGTATGTGGAACAAAATGTGTTTGAGCGTGGGAGCTAGGAAGACAGGAGATTATCCATGTGCAGCTGAATGTCTGTCTGCAGATTTGTGCGTTCAAGCCTCATTTTAACTGTAGAATCAGTCAATCTTTTATTGGTGATGTGCTTAATGTTGCTACAATGATCTCCGCGTCTGATTTGCCCCTTTCTATCGTCACTCAGCACCCAGTGGAATGAAGACAAAGCTGCTGTGGAGTTTAAGGCTTTCATCATAGAGCGAAGCAAAAGAGAATTATCATGCATTAACGTAATAATATCATATAATTGCTTCGACAGTGAAAAAAATGCTCCTGGTCCCACTTTGATAATCTAAGGGCAAGAAGGGTATGTGTGCATCTGTTTGACTCGTGAAGTCCAAAACCAATTCATAGTTGATCGTCAAGGTCAGGCTGCTATGAGAATATGAGAATCCCACCGTTAACTTTTATGTCCTAACCACAAGTGGAGAGCAGTTGGTATTTATAGGTGTCTCGGCGTCTGATAATATGCCACCGCACAAAAACTGGTGTTTGACAGCCAAATGATAACCCCAAACAGCAAAGCAGAAATATATATGGAGACCTATTCACAGCCGGAAACACACTTTTTTCGGCCCAGTAATTATTGAGATGAATACAATCTTTAAGTCCAGTTAGAAAACAAAAAGACAAGTATTCAAGTCTCAGACAGCGTTGAGCATTGGGGCATTAGTGTGGACCTGAAGCAGCTCTCTGTGGAAAATAGGTGCCGTGTGACTAAGAAAAAGATTTCTGGCGACAATAAGGAGGAGAAGATAATCGAGTAAAAGAATGAAAGGTTGTTTTTGTCATGGGGGCTTATTTAAGGTCAACTCATTCCAATAGCAGTAAAATGAAGCGAGAAATACAAAAAAAATCATATGAATTAAGGCCGGCGCATGCTTCTGCGTCTGCGTTGTTGCCTCGACGCACTCGTTTCAATTCATGGTTTTGCGTGTGTTGCAGAGCAATTCACCTCCAGAACAACAGGCGGAGTAACGTGTTTTTGTTGAAGACGACCTAGAGAGTCACGTCTATTTATTGGTTTGTTTATTTATTTATCATAGACTTTATTGCCCCGTGCATCGCCACTGCTGCTTTTCATCACGGACACATTTGTCCCGTATTTTCCTCCACAACTTTGTGCACCTCTCGACCGGCGTTTGCGGCGATCTCCCTTCTTCTCCCAGAAGCAGAAGCATGCGCCGGCCTTTAAGAAGAACGATGTATTTACCATAAAGACACGTGCAGCGCAGTGTTACTTTTAGTAGGCTTATTTTCAAGCGTATTTCAAGTGAAATTTCCAAACATGGCTGTGCTTTTGCTGTTTGTATATACTATATCTGCATAGGGCACGTAACTATTCAGAGTATGAGAGTAAACTATCAAAGTAGAAACATGCACTGGGCGTGGTTTCAAAAAGTCTGAAACGTCAGCCAAAGTCTTTGGAATAATTTCCCTTCAAGTCAACAGGTATGATCATGAAATTTCAGCTGCCTGCAGTCAGACAACTGTCCATTCCCTACAACTCCTTTTTACACAAATTTTGGTCCATAATTAACAGTTTTGTCAAATTACGGGATTTCCTGCTCAGTGAGGTGAAACTGGTAACGCATAACAAGATGCACGTGTCTCCACACACCCTCATGTTTCCTCTCCTCTGCGTCTGCTGTCAAACTGACTGGATGGGATGTTTCCCCTAAAGTTAGATCATTGCCCCTAACCGTTTAACTAATTGTAGCTTTGCGCTTTTGTCCTGTGCTTCAGATATCCAATCCGAATGTTGCTATTGTATCATTTAACTTGGCTTGGTAGGTTCTGTGTTCTTCAAAAGAATAGAAATGTAATATATCTGGTGTGCAGAAGCAGCTTCATAGGCAGAAATTGGAGAGAACACCATATGTAATAGCATACCCTACATTAAGCAACATGCATCTTCTTTGTCTTCCTAAGCTTGAAAGCCGTTGTACCCAACAGATACTCTTTTAATGTTGTCGCCTGCAAACTCTTTAAACACAGACCAACATGGATCCGCTACTTCCTCAGAGTATCTGTGTCGATGGGCCTTTCCTAAATAGCCAAAGCCGTAGCCATCGGATTACACGCTCCATTCTACAAGGTGGAAATAGCAGTCATAAAACGCTGAAACACTACTTGGGAGGGCGTAAACAGCTGGACTCTTTGGAGTCAGACGCATCCAGACAAGCAGCCACAGGAAAAGGAGGGCTGGGTAGGAAAACGGAACTGCGGTGGGGGGGCAGGAGGGGGCACTCAGTTCAGCATTACAAGGTGCACCTGACGGTGAGCACTATGTAGTTCTCTCCTTCATTCCATCAACCTTTCCTCCAGTTACTTCACTTAATGGAGACCAAACACATGGTGGTATACTTTGTTCTTCAGCCCAAGCACACAAGAAATACAGATGATTCATTTACTACAACCCTTAGTTTTGTCTGTTGTGACCCAGGAATTTTAGCCAAAAAACAAATCCAAATGTATATTCCCAAGCGACCTTACATTTCTTTTTAACTTTTCTCTTCACTGCGTTTGGTGCCTGCTATCTGGTTCCATGATGGATACATTTCTAGCAGTTGATGGCAGCCTAAAACTTTGGCACAATGTTGACTGGGCTTATTGGAAAATTGGAAGTGATACTCTGACATATTACTGCAGCACTAGACACCATTTCATAATCAATTAGTGATCTCAATTCACAAAGTACCTCAGTCATCTGTTGACTAGATGCCCAGAACACATCAGACCAACTGGGTTTATATCAATTTGGGGGAAAAAAAACAGTTCCAAACTGAGTTAATCCCAATATCGGAGACATACGCATATGATTCAATGCCTAATCTACCTAGAATGAGCACATGTTAAACCCTAGAACCAATCTTTTGATAGATCTTATCCACATCTGGCTGGAAAATGGATTATAAAAAAGCAGCCAAGACCACACTGACTGCTTTTCAAAGACTCATCACATCAATAGACCATCCCTCTCACTGTATATTCTTGGAAATCCCAGAGGAGAAACGATTGCAAAACATTCTATTATTATGACTACTACTAGGCCCGAGGCAAGAAACACACCCGACCTTTTACAAGAGGAAAACACACGACCTCCAAGTGATTTGTAGTCAAGAGGACGCTTAACATTTCCCTTTAGGACAAAAGAAAGGTGGTGTGCTTTAGAAATCGGAGTAAAATGGGATTAAACAAACAGAAACTGATGCATGCACAGCATGAAGTACATTTAGATAATCAGAATATTTACAGAATCCCTGAAGGAAGCAGGTATTTCAATGGTATTTTGACTTCATGCATCAGCATGCAACACACTGACATAGACAATTCTAACACACTGATGTTTGAGAGGTGTGTTGCCAGTACATGCTAAACAGAAATAAATGGTAATGGTTGGTAATGTATTTGAGTCCCACCAAAGTATGAGGCACATTGTTGTGCTAAATGAGAAGTTGAAAGGATTCTGTAAATCAGCACACTTTCTTTTCTTGGGACTACAAATATCTGCAGTCGATAGATGTCGGAATATTTCAGTCTGGGCAACGCGTGTATGGCACATTACTCACCCCTCAACTCCCTCACCCCCATAAAAAGCCAGACTGAAGAGGATTATGCGGCAGCATAAAGTTGACACGGAGAGGGATGCAGCTTTATGATCTCCATCCTTCCACATGTTTGTCTCCAACCATTGGAAGGTGAACACAGTCGTGGTATTGGCCTGCCACTTTTCAATTCTATGCTTTTAAGTACAATATTTGTGTCGTTGAACTCTCTACAAAGCGGCGCTAACCACGGAATGGGCTGACAGAGAAAGTGAATAGGCAATTTATTCATAGGCTTTACAACCTAACAATCCTAAACACTTGAAAATGCCAGGAGGGAACCATGGCCCCATCTTGAAGGTATTTCTTATCCCTTTCTCTGTTTTTCTTAATCTATCTATCCCTGCCTCTGCTGGCAAGCGCAAGGAAATATACAGACAGCGTTTGTATGAGTCAAACACATACATATTAACAAAAACAAATGTAATTTAACAGCATCTTCTCAATATTGAAAGGATGAATTGTTTACAACAACCAACGTAATTAAGGTACTGCAGAGAATGTAAGTTTACAATATCTCCCTGAGTACTAGCTATCTTGACAGATGAAAAAGCAACCACAATATATTGTTTAAAGAGACCTATTACAACACAATCACACTCAGTAAGCAAACCGTGCTGCTTACATAAACACACCAACACATGTTAACAAAAATAAACAAGATGTTCCTGATGAATTTTGACACTAAACACCATACTTCATATCTTGTCCATATTTGGGATACTGGGATGATGATGATGATGATGAACAGACTGAGTCTGTTGTGATGTACACGTCAGGCACAGCATTTTTGGTCTCGGTAATTAGTATTTCTCAAACAATGACAACAATGAGCTAACGTGGGACGCGTGTTGAAGCAGTGTCACGCTGCAGTTGGTGCGCTCACTGATACAGCTATTGATCTGAGTTCCGACGGTCAATATTTACCTGGCAAACAGAACCGACCTGGGCACGAAGTTTCCCACTAGCGTTCAGGACGCTTGGCGAATTTGTTTGAATTCGTTTTGACCAGTTGTCGTCAAATCATTTCAAACAGCTGGGGCAATAGTACACTAAAGTCAGGTAATAAAATTGTATTTTTCAATGCATAGTGAGTTTAAGTACTTTACTTGATCAATGATGAACAATTAAATGAAAGATATTAATGTAAAAAGTCATAAAGTCATCAGTATTAGTAGTATTAGTCGTCATGATATGAATATACCATTCTTTTAGAAATATTAACTGTCTTTGGCATCCTCGGGAGTGTAAATATCATGTGTTCTGAAATAGCTTTGCAATTCTGTATTTCACATTAGAAAATAATTCTCACTGATGCATTGACAAAGTCCGTCCTAACCAGCCTCAGTCGTGAGAACCACAATTACAGTCTGTGCAACGCTGGACCTTTTGGCTGAATCTTTTATTGGGAACCGGATCGGAGATGTGGGTGCATGCACACACACACACACACACACACACACAAACGTGGATGCACACACACAGAATAGACGAATCCCATGAGATATGCCATCCACAATTTGACCTTTCAGAGGGCAATTCTCAGGCACAGCAATGGACCTCTAAAGTTACAGTTTTTCTGCGGATACAAGGTCCTCCAAGTGGAAAGCTCGTCTGTCCAAAAACATTCGCTTGAACCTTCTCGAGACTTTTACAATCCTTCAATTGGAAGACAGCACTCACATTGAAGTGCAAAACAGTCACATAACAGGAGTTTGTCTTCTTGCTGCCCAGTTTCCAGTGATTGCTCGGTTATAAATTAACACATGTTTATGTACATCTAAGACTGTACGGATTACTTCATATTTACGAAGTACATTGTATTCTGGTCCAGGCTAGTGTGGCCTAAGTGGGCCGCAACAGCTAAACTTTGGCCCTACGTTATATAATTCTCAGAATAACGTTTCCTTTATGAAAGAGGAGAACCACCAAGGACTGCAAACAAGTCTGTGCACATTAGCATTTAACGTTTTAACACCATCAGCCAATACAAAAACACATGTGCTTTTGTTCTGAACTGATCCTCTCAACACCAAAGTCTCTGCTGCAGTTTGGATATGGATATTACTAGTAAGTAAGCATGTTAACAAGTTGCACCCCAACAATCCTTGTGAGAAAAGCAAATACAGTGTCAGTTGCCTCCTTATGGTACAAGTGGTTATAGCTGCGAATTGTATTGCTTCCAGAGATGAGATCCAAAAAAATACTGAGATGATCAAATGGTATAATATGCTAAATATAATGATGAACTACCACCCTAACTACCCATTGTCTAGGGAATGTTTTTGAGATCATCTTGGCTAATTGATTAAACATTTTGCGGTTTCGCTGACATTATTTTCCATTCATTAGTAATTCATCAGATAACTTTGGCAAAATTGCAATATACACTGAATGAGCAAGGAGTAATTATACACGGAGACGGAAAGAAGAAACCTTCTTCCCTTCTGTACCAGTGGGGGTTTTAGGTCAATTTCAGACCGGACCAACAATGCACCGACTGCTGCGTGAAAGGATCACAGTAACGTAGTGAAAGGCCTGCGTGATGACTGTTTATGTGTTGTAAAAATGGCCAGTGCCCTTTAATGACACAAAGGGTTAATCTAGACAAACTGACTGGGGCTAACCAGATGTTTCTCCTCCATTTGTACTTTGTTCACTTCTCACTCTTTTCTATTAGATCCGTTTCTGGCGTCTGATGTATTGCACTACGTGTTATATAGCTTTTAGTTATTTACTGATTCAGCGTGACAAGAACACGAATGCTGTGTTTGTATTATCATCGGTCCCAGGGTGAGCTACATTTTTTACATTTGCCTCCGAGGCTGACTATTCTTCTAACACACTGGATGCAATTACAGTGCTCACTTGCTAATCAAATGCCATCAATCCAAATGCTGCCAAAAATAATACAAAATATAAAAAGAAAAACCTTTCAAATGAACCAACCCTGTTGCACACCAGCCCACATTAGACTCATCTACACCCCCCCCCCTTTTCATCGAAATCATCCTGCAACTCAACTCATGCATGTTCAGACTCACCATCCCTGCGCATGTTGACAATGCCACCGAGGAGTTGACATCTGACCTCAGCGACCCCTGGTAAAAGCAGAGGTCGTCCTGATGGTAGGCCCTCAGGCTCTTTGTGCCGTTCTTTCCCAGGACCTGGATGGTGAAGCCAGGTGCAATCAGGCTCTCTGAGGCCTCCCTCAGCTCCATGTGGAAGTCCTGCCCTAAGCCGCTCAGTCGGAAGTGGATCGTTTTGCTGCCGGCGTCGTTTGTTGGTGAGCCGGCGGCATCTTGGGCCAACGATCTGCGTCGCCGTCTGCGCTGGTTGTGAGCGACTTCATAGGAGATGTGTACGCCCCGGGGGTTGACCTCATAGGGAGATACAAGCTCATATTCTGGATGACAGATAAGAGCAGAGACAAAATTAAAGATTATTGGATGTTTCCAAAGTTTGTTCCAAGTGAAAAACTGAATTTAAATTCACAGACAAGAGAGAAATGCAACATTTACTCTTTTGACACAGCTGTTAAAGATCAATAGAGATACCATGGATCAAACATTGGATAAGATTGCTGAGAAATGCTTTAAGTTAATGAACTACATGCGACGGCAAGAACCATATGGTCCATTTTGGTCAGTCGTTTTATTAACTTCATCGGTCAACACGGTGATAAACAGCACGCTGTGTCAGATGCTACCTTGGTTGCATCAGTGGTCTGAATAAAAACGACAACCTTTTCCATTTCTAAAGTTTCCTTGACCTGCCCCATATACTTTTGCTGCCAGGGTCAAGACAGAGTTACAAGAAAGGGAAGGGCTTTAGACAATTCCAACACAGTCCCATCAGCGAAGAGTGAATCATGTTTGACCTTGTGTTTTACTACAGTCTTTTACTACAGCTTGGGCTGAATAACTGCAGGTCATAAAGGGAGATGGTGGCAGGTCACAGGCTTGGCCCTCTCGACCACTTAAATGTCGAATGGCTTTGTGGCCACAGAAACAGGCTTTCCTCCAAGGGTCAAATCGAAAGTCTAGCTGATTCCTTCCGCTGCATCGAAATTGGTTTTCCAGGAGAAATCATGACAGCAGATGCCTGGGAACTTTAGGGTTTTGCAGACCATGCGTTTTGCATGCACAAAAAGGCAAGTGTGGTAATGTGTCCAGTATTTCTATGGGAGAAGGATACCTCTCACTTTATCAGCTTAAAGGGCAGAAAAAAAAAAGCAACCGTACGGGCTTATTTACAGTACAGTTGGACCTGCTTTTTGACAGAGTGGGTGTCCTCACTGGCAGTGAGCATGTCTGAGGTTTGAATCTGGTTATTTGGTGCATATTGAGGCACACTTAAAGCTCTTATCCCCGCGACATGACACATGCTTATTAGCGGATGCATTTATTTAAGGCACCTTGCAGTACTGTGTCTACATATGTTTCATATGTAAAGCCGACCATCAACCCGTAAAATGTTACATTGGAGACGTACCAAGAGAGTTACGGGACTGCAAAGAGCAAACACATACTTCAAGTCTCAAGTATTTTCTGTGGCGGCACCGAAGCACTTAGGCAAAACCAGAAAAGGGTGTTGTCAATCTTTGGCATTTTGTCCCCCTACCCCCCAACACACATTTAGCCGCCCTAAACCAAAAAAAAACAGCTGCAGTGACCCATGTCTGACAGTATACAAACACAGATACTGCGGGAACGGAGCATGCACACACACACACACACACACACTCAAACACATGCACCTTGTCTGATGGACTGAGACAAGATCCTGTGGTGGCTATGTTGGTTTAGTGGCTTCTGAGTGCCATTAGTACTGATAGGAGGTCCAGCCAATGGGCGCTTTGACTTAAACTCAACAAAAGGTTGAACATGTGAGCTCTTTCCCAACCTGCTGTGACAAAGATCTGTGGATGTGGAAAACATGAATACTGAGCATTAGTTGTGCTCGCTGGAGAGGATCTGAAACAGAAGTAAGGGCTTTCCCTCAATTGCGTTTCATATCATCTCCTCGTGTGGCCAGTGAGACGAGTTCTGATGGGCATTTGTTTTACAAGTCGGCTTTTCATAAAAAAAACGAAAAACAAAGGATGTGAAGGAGGGTGCACAGCCAAAGCAGTTGCTGACACAGCACACCACATGGGGTTACACTCCCAGACAAAGAACAGATGAATGTCTTGCTTCGGCACCTCGTGCTAATTGCTGAATTGACTAAACAGCCGTAGCAGGCCTTCAATAAGGTTCTGCTGTGCAAGATCATTGTGCTATTAAGCAACTACAATCAAGTCACATAAAGACACTTTCCTATTTTGTTTTGTCCAATGGGCTTCACAATTCAATAGACCCGTTATAGTAAATACTGATATTTGCCGTGCCAAGTTTTTTAATTTATTCTTTTATTCTTTACATCGCACCCCGAGTGGAGCTCCACTGGTGCAGCAGAACGCCGATGGCTGCGTGTGAGGCTAAAGGTCGCCCCCCAGCGGTGGAGAGACGCAACAACAGCGCAGGTGAGCGCTGCCCGATGCTGCTGGCCGTTGGAGGGCGGTGGATGCGGTGGGTGACTTTACTTTTAACCCCATTGCAACGAAAAGACCAACCTCACCGAGCGGATCACAGTTCCCTCTCGCACACAAACACAAAAAGAGGTGTGCAAAAAGAGGGGGGGGGGGGGGGTCGGCTCGGCGGACATACCTGTATGTTGCGGTAAATTGAGCGACCTGAGCAGGGCCGATGCTTCCTGGTGAGATCCCGCACCGTCGGCACCATTATTCCAAAGCACGCTCTGTAAGGAAGGACACGTACACATGACTCGTATCGAGCAAATAACCGTGGAGAAAAATAACTCGGCTCTCTGTCATTTAAAGCGGTGACAACTTTTACGAGCTCTGCATGCATACACGTGCGTGCGTGCAGCGGAGATAATAATACAACGGGCTTACTTGGCTCAGCGTGAAAAAGCAAAAGAGGTGAAAAACGAGCCGCGTCGAGGTTCCCCACTCTGCAGAAACGCGTCGGAAAGCCATCCCTGCAAACGCGGGTCACCTTGACGCAAAAAAAACACCTCCAGATGCTTAAAAGTTCCACCACTTGCAAGCAGCGGCAATGGGTTCAATGGATGAAATAAATAAGTCCAAATGCAGCCGAAGCAGCTCTGCAGAACTCGCGCTGAACGAGGCATCAATGCGCGTCAGGCGCAAACTTCTTCACACTTTTGCGCCACTTTGGTCTCCGCTCATTTTCTAAGCGCAGAATTCCGACGCGGCTAAAGTTTCCTCTCCCGGCAAGTCATTTTCTTCCGTTGCACTCACACGGTCCGACCAGTATCCGAAGTTTCCGTCTCCCCCTCTCTTTAACCCACGCGCTCTCTCTCCCGCTCTCTCTCTCTCCACCCAGTGACCCCCGCGGACCAGTTTGACTCCCAGTGAAATCATGTGATTGTCTTAAATAGGTTGCGTCCCGTCTTAGCAATAGACTTCTATGCAACTGCCCCCCCCTCCCAAACACACACACACACACACATACACACCCCGGGAGCCTGTCGAAGGAGCACTGAAGGCTGCTGCTGTGTGTGCGTATGTGTGTGTGTGTGTGTGTGTGTGTGTGTGTTTTGAGGAGGGGGAGAGGGGTGGTAATTACGGCCTGTAGCCAATCCTATTTGACACTTGTGCTGAGAGATGAGGTTTATGTCCATCTCTCAGGTTGCAGGTTTAAGATGTGTGTGAAAGGAAGAGAGTCCGCGTGTGATAAAAAAGCTTTACTAGCAGGCCAATGAATTAGCCTAATTACCCTGAGAGAAATAACAAGGGTAGATCCACCTTGGTTAGTTTTCAATGGATGTTGCATTTCAAAGTATCCACAGAAATGAAAAGATTTATTTGAATTCTGTAGTCTGGGATCGGTAACCCAAAAGTGATGTAGAGATTGCACCCAGAGGCAGGTAATCCGTCATTTGTGATGGATTACGGTCTGAGATTTAGCCTTTGACCCTGTTTAATCCGCTTGTCATTCTCCCATCTCTCCCGTTTCCCGCAGCTGCACTGATAGGCAGCGGGCCAACATTTCTGAACTCCCCACAATCGCTCATGGAAGTGCTCAGGAGTTGTGGGGGCCTACGGATTGGGAGAATATCCTGGATCAGAGTGAAAGGAGTCAGAAGTGATTGTAAGCAAGCTGATCTATTAAATCCCGCCTTGTTATGCTGTAGTCCGTCTTCCACAAGTGTTAGTGCACGATCCATTCGTAAAGGTTTAAGGTGATGTAAGGATCCTGGGACAGAGGTTGTTGGCTACAGGACAAATAGTTTGGGATGAATTGCATTGAATTTATTTCAACAGAGTTTAAACATGCAGATAGAACATTCCCATATTGAATAACGAATAAACATTTATTTTGTTTGGATTCAACGGCAACAATATGGCTCTCAGGCACAGGATCAGGTATCCTTAATAGTTAAAAGACACCCATTTAGTTTGAGATAAGAAAAGAAAACGTCACTATCATGTTTCAGTACTTGGAGAAAGAGTGATGAGAGAAGACCACTATGATAAATTACACTGAGTGAAAAAGTGGGACAGGAGTTTCTCCATGACACTCTGTCCTGAGGGTTTGTGCGAGGTGTTTGACTCATCTTCCTAATGCTTCGTGCCGTATCACATCGGTGATAGTGCGACCCATGAAGGATCTATACGTTGAAAGACAGAAATAACTGAGACTATGCTGCAGTATCAAACCCAAACCACCAACTTCCCCTAAATGCAGCAGTTCGCAAATGTAAACGTAGGAACATTATCATCCACAGAGTATAAAGTTCTAAGTCTATAAAGCTTCTCCATGTACGACACTGACTCACAGACTTCTGCCAATTCTGGATTTAATCTGTGATAAAATACCATCATGGAGACAATTCCAACCATATGTTTGGAGGCTTTAGAAAATCTTTACAGTGTCAGCTGCTGCTGAAACGATATCACCCCTCCCCTGCATTAATACACACACACACACACACACACACACACACACACACACACACACACGTGTGTGCACAGACTGCAATACAATACTCGCTGTGCACCTGAAAACATACTGCGCACATATTTTTGCGTGAGTCAGTTATTTTCATTTGTTCAGCGAGCGCACATGTACGTAGCTGACTGGAGAGTTTTGAACTTTGGAACAGTCAGACAACCGGAGAGTGAGTTTTCATTTTGGGGTGTTTGCAGATACAGCAAGTTATAAACAAAGAAATAAAGAGAAGATGAGCCGTCTGCCACCACAGCTCGTTTCTGTCTCTCGTTCAGCCTATTCGCCATCATCTCATCATCATCTGCAGGTGTACACGGACACCTGTCTTCCATCTATTTCCACGCAAACCGAGGCATGTGGTCACACACATACTGAGCATCAGTTTGCATCAAGTCAATCTAGAAACATTACGGCTTCACTGTTCACTACAGGAAGGGTTTGAGCAGCATGCTGGTCTGAAATGGACCAGAGCGAGCGCTGAACTGGGGTCAGTTGGGCACATGGCGACAAACACCAGATAGGCTCAAGTTTAGCACGCTTAACATGGAGCAACGTATTTTGTCCTGCATGCCCACATAATGCAACGACGCTCAGCTAAAAAGGTCATGATGATCATTTTACCCGAACAATACTCAATTGGAATGCAGCAACTAAGGAAACAAACAACATAAATGTCAACACAAGTGGTGAATGTGCACATAACTCAGTGGCCCTTGTGCTTCTTCATTCGAATTGAACAAACATGTTTGTCAAGTGTATTAAGATGGAAAAAAATATTAAAATACAATATTTTCCCGACATGAATGTCAAATCAGAGTTACCAAATGTATCATAATGGCCAATTTGAAGATTCTGGCATATGATGCCTCCACTAAAGCTGCTCCATTAGCATCAATGTGTGCACAGGTAATGGAGGAGTGATATGATTTGGTAGAGGCTTGGACTGCAACAGCAGATGGAGCCCTGATTCAAGTCTCTATGTCAAGATAAATTGGATGCTGGCAGTAACTTCCAATTTATCATTCAAATTTCCTAAAATCTCAAAGTATTTCCTAACTCATGTTCTGTATAAGATGATTCAAATAAATTCAAATAAAATAAGTTGCACAGATACACATTTTGGGCATTTAATTTTTCCGCTTGATTCTTTAACTTATTTATTCCTTTAATTGTCCGATGTGCGTCTTAAGTTTTATTTCTGCTTTTGTCTTGTAGTTTTCACTCCATGGTATCATTTAATTAGCTGCCTTAAACTGTCATCAGGCCTACATGAGCATAAGAGTGTCCGGGATCATAGGCTTCTGGCAAGCATTCTTGAGTTTGTGTGCAAGCTCTTTTATGTGATTTATGTCCATAGGTGTATCTGTGCGTTGGCGCAAACTGTAGATGCATGTGAGCGCGTGCATGTGTGTTTTGCGATGTGCGCGCGTGTGTGAATAGTAAGCTGACGGCAGCTGTAAAATTCCTCTCAGAGCACCACAGAGGGGAGGCTGATGGGAGCTGACAGGGAGCAAGAGTGAAGGGAGGTGGGAGAAGAAGATGAAGGTGATTGCCGGGCAGGGGGAGACTGGGGTTTGCCAGCCAGTTTGATGATTGAAGGTTTAGTCCGGCTTTGCAGAAATGCTGTACTGCTGTCAAAGAATACTGATGCCCTGACTGTTGTAGCTTTGACCTTATCGAGTGCAACGCGCACACCTTGGATGTATCAGCTCAGAGTAAAACAACTCTCTGGCTTTGGACAACACAGTACATATTCCCAGTTATCCTTTCGTCTATCTAAATCGATATTAAGAAAGACCTAAATTTATTCTATTTCAATGGCAACTTAAGCAAATTACTGCTGAACCACACTGCATTTGGGCCATTTCACAAAATAAAATAATTTATAAAGCCTTGGAATCATTTAATCCCATTTGTTAAAAAAAGTGAATGCAATAAAGTTTATTACAATTTTGGCACATTTCGACATCACATTTGCAGAGAAGATATGATTACTATGTGTGTAATCAGAGGTAGTACTAACAGGTTTTTACTGTATGGCTGGTTCATGCAGAAGAGGCTTAAGTGGGGAAGAACTTTATTTATAATTTGGCCAACGAAGTGTCATACTGCATATCGCAGGCATTATACATGGAAAGAAGATTTTTTATCTGTATACATGAGAAATAGCAGGAAGAGGCATTTTTTAAAATTAGATATGCATTACATAAAACAATGACATAACTTGGCAGCATTTGTTTTCATTCTCACTAATAGTTTTCAATCTTAATATCATGAAGGTTCTATATCTCATTACACATACGATAGCAACTGCAATCAAGCAAATGCGTCATCTGCATTGCGTAAAGCATATGGTTTGTCTTCTGCAGTGTGACTGGGTCTTGACACAACGTCAGATGTGTGAAGAAACAAAAAACTAAATGGTAAACTATATGTGTGTCTGGCTGAAAAACAGGCGGCCACCCTGTCGGCCTCCTTTAAGCACAAAACATCTTACTGTTATATGAATGTTACCCTGGATGAGTTATTAATTTGGCCAATCGTATTTGTGGGTCAAAATAGCAATCACATAAACATGGTAGCTTGGTAGTTTCAATAATTTGGCACAAAGCAGTGGAGATTTTCACTTAGAATAAGTTACTGTACTGCTGGACCCCCCCTCCCTCGCACATAACTTCCACTGAACTAATGTATTGGACACGGCTGAGCGACTGAAGCATTATTCTTCATAATAACCACTGATTAGTGAAGTTATTGTGATGGCCGTGCTCTACATCAGTTGGCCCGGGAAGTGTTGCAGTGTGGGAGGTCTTTTCCTGACCCTGTGAGCAGTGAGTGATGGTTCACATTGGGACAAAATACTGCACGGAGCCGGCGTACTCCCGATCAATGGGATTCGTAGTGGTAATCATCAGGTTGACATATTGCCGTCCAAATGGCGGGTTAGGCTATTAATGCAGGTTCAATATCATTTATAGCAAAAAGTTTAATTACAACACAAGCAAAGTTAAGGCTCTGAGTCACATGCTCTTCCTTGTAAGTAATTTAGAAAATGATGTTCTATTGATCTCTATTTTACAAGACAAACCAGTTAAATCCAGAATCCAGAACATTTTCTTTCCACAGATTCTTCAGAACGGCAATATTAGCAACCCGCTATGACAGCATCCCTCTCCCTCAGTTTGGGAGCCCGAGATGAAAATGAAGGGCTGAAGAATTGCGCTAATTATTGGTAGTCAGCTGTATGTGTTCGCTGGGGCAGAAAGAGCATCTCTGGAGGGGTGTAACCTAAAAACAAAGTGGCTAGTCTTATGACACTCTGCAGGGGTGAGAGCCTGCTAAAGTTCACCACCTCTGTATTGTGTAAGCAGTCCGGTTATAATAACTGCCTTCATCTTGGCAGGGAACAAGACTCGAAGGCCAATTTGAAAGGT